TTTTTTGTTTAAAAAAAAACCAACAACAAAAACAAATAAACCTTTTGCAGTTTTGGGAATAAAGTTTAATGATCCCTCTTTCCCCACTTCCTTTTTATCTGGAGTGAACAACAAACCACCTTTTAACTTTCGGACACAGGGGATAAAATAATTACATTAAACCTAACCTTAAATGGCTGTGTTAGGGCTACAGGGTAATATTTTCTTTTAGGGATAGGGATTAGAAATGCACAGGTGATGCACCCAAAGATCGAAGCTTTTAAGGGCAAGAACTCACTATTTGACAAACATTGATGGGAAAACTGGAAAACAGTTTGTCAGAAACTAGGTATAGACCAACATCTCATACTGTCTACCAAGATAAGGTCAAAATGGGTACATGATTTAGGCATAAAGGATGATATTATAAGCAAATTGGGGGAGTATGTAATACCTGTCAGATTTATGGATAAGGGAAGAATTTATGACCAAACAAGAGAGAGGATATTGGGAAGTAAAATGGCTAGTTTTAATTAACATTAAATTTAAAAGGTTTTGCACAAGCAAAACTAATGCAGCCACTATTTTTGAAGGAAAACAGGAAAGGGGGGGATTTTACAGCAAGTTTTTCTGATAAAGGCCTTACTACTTATACATAAGGATGTTGTTGTTCAGTCGTTTCAGTTGTGTTCGACTTTTCATGACCCCCTTTGGGGTTTTCTTGGCAAAGACACTGGAGTGGTTTATCAGTTTCTTCTCCAGCTTATTTTATAGATGAGGAAAATGAAACAAACAGGATTAAGTGACTTGCCCAGAGTCACACAACTAGCAAGTTTTCGGAGGCCAGATTTGAACTTGGGAAGATGAGTCTTTTGACTCTGGGCCTGGCACTCTATCCTTTGCGCCATCTAAGCTGTCCCATATGTAGAGAACTGATTTTATTATTTATTAAAAGTAAGAGCTGTTTGCCAGGTGATAAATGGTCAAAGCATATAAAGGGGCAGTTGGGTGGCACAGTGAACAGAGTGCCCAGCCTAGAGTCAGGAAGACTACTCCTCCTGAGTTCTGCTCTCAGATGCTTACTAGCTGTGTGACCCTGGGCAAGTCCTTTAATCTTGTTTGCCTCAGTTTCTCATCTGTAAAATAAGCTGGAGAAGGAAGTGGCAGACCACTCCAGTCCTTGCCAAGAAAACTCTAAATGAGCTTATGAAGAGTCTGGCACGACTGAAAAACTGAATAGATAGTTTTCTTATGAAGAAATCAAAGCTATCGATAGTCATGTAAAAAAATACTCTAATTCACTATTAATTAGAGAAATGCAAATTAAAAGAGCTCCAGCGTACCACCCCACACCTATCATATTAGCTAACATGATAGGAAAGGAAAGCGACAAATAGATACACTAATGAATAGTTGGTGGAATTGTGAGCTGGTGCAATCCTTCTGGAGACCAATTTGGAACTATGCCCCAAGGGGTATAAAACTGCATATGCTTTGACCCAGCAGCACCACTACTATATCTGTATCCCAAAGAGGTCAAAGAAAAAGGAAAAGAAGCTATATGTATAAAAATATTTATAGCAGCTAATAATTGTAAATAATATAGCAGCAGATAATTGGAGAAGGAGGGAATAGCCATGAGTTGGGGAATGGCTGAACAGGTTGTGGATATGGTTGTGATGGAATCCTATTTTGTTGTAAGAAATGACAAAGACCACTGGTAGTTTTAGAAAAACCTGGGACAACTTGTATTAACTGATGCAAAGGGAAGACTAGGAGAATATTGTGTATAGTAAACAGCAATATTGTAGTGTTGATAAACTATAGAAAGTCTTAGCTACTCTGCTCAATAGAATGATGCAAGACAATTCCCAAGAAGTCATGATGAAAAATGCTGTCCATCTCCGGAGAGTGAACTGAAGAACTCTGAGTACAGATTGAGGCAGAATTTTTTCACTTTCTTCATTTTTCTTCCCCCCCCCCTTTTTTGCAATGTGGCTAATATGAAAATATGTTTTGCGTAATTAAATTAAATAAATAAAAAATATTTAAAAGGAAAAATGCATAAATGTTTTTGCTGGAAATGCAGCTATGTGCCAATTTCTAGCTGTTTAAATATCCTGTGCAAGGAAGTGAATCTTGTGTTGGTAGCTGAGACTGTCCCACTGAACAAAATATTTCCTGGTAACTAAATTTCATGGAGATTTAGAGCCCAAAGGAAATTATGTCCAGTAAACAATCTGTAGAAGATGTAGTTGAGGGATTGATGACTTTGGTTGTAAAAATTATAAATTATAGTCCACTTTATCTTCTCTTCCCTCTCCCATTGCATAAAGGAGGGCAATAGATACACAGCCTTGAGGCTGAAGAGAAGAGGCCAGCTTCTTTGTACTCTCTCTGGTCATAGTACTTCTTTTCTTTTCTTTCTTTCTTTCTTTCTTTCTTTCTTTCTTTCTTTCTTTCTTTCTTTCTCTCTCTCTCTCTCTCTCTCTCTCTCTCTCTCTCTCTCTCTCTCTCTCTCTCTCTCTCTCTCTCCTTCCTTCCTTCCTTCCTTCTTGTTAAGTGACTTGCCCAGAGTCACACAGCTAGTGAGTGTTATGGGTCTCAGGCTGGATTTGAACTCAGGTGCTCCTGACTCCAGAGCCAATGCTCTATCCACTATGCCATCTAGTTGCCTCCTATAGTATTTGCTTTTTGCCATGGATTTTTTTTTTTTGGCCATAGATTTTTAAATTTGCTACTTGCTAAGCTAATGTGCATTTCTAGATGCTGTTTTGGCTTTCCAGATGATAGAAAAACAAGAACTTTTGCTATCCAAAAACTGGTATAATGAATAATTCCAGAAAGACTAGTTTTCCAGATAACATATCATTATTATTATTATTTTGGAGACAGATCTTTTAAAAAAGGAGGTATTATATACTGGGTTGAGATTCTTTAAGAGTCTAGTCAAGGGCTCAGATTCCTAAGATCTGGTCCACTTGTATTAGTGATACAAATGCTTAGATTCCTTATGAGTCTGGCCAATATGGCAGATTCTTTAAATAAACCTTGTCTTTGGCTGAAAGAAGGCTTGGGTCGAATTCATTCAGGCAGGACCCACATGTTGTGATTTTGGGGTCCCAGCACCCCTAAACCTCAACAACACCACCATCTGACAGAATGGAAGATAAAGGCAACAACAAAGAAGAGGTCCTTGTTTCTGACATGCTGTTTAATAGCCACCAGCCCATGGAGGTTTCCTTCCTAGAAGGCTCTGATGGCAGAACCCGGGATTTAGCAGGTCCCACCAAGCAGGAAAGGCTTTGAGCCTGAGAATGGACTGTGTTGTGTTATCTGAGGGTCATTCTAAATTTGGAGAGACTTGTCATCACGTTGGTCACAGGATCATGAGTTTTTTGGCCACAGCAGTTCTCAAAAACAGAGAGCTACGTTGTAAAGGGATTGTAGTGCATTTCAGTGGAGAGAGTGCCCACCCCAATAACATCACAAGTCCTTGAAATACCAAAGTATGGCTATGAAAAATCAGAGGGAGAACAACACAAAAAGCACAATGATGTAATTGAGCTAGAAACTTCATTTTCTTTTCTCTGTGGTTCTTATTTCCTTTAAGAAAAAAAAGCCAGGAACAGATCAAAAAAAACATACTGATATATTCGCCCGTCTTTTCTTCATTGTCAGTGTTCTTGCTTATAGCAACCACACTTTCAGCTGTTTCTCAACTGCATTAAGCTTGTTTTGTTTTGTTTTTGCTTTTGTTTTTATATGAGGCAATTGAGGTTAAGTGATTTGCCCAGCGTCACACAGCTAGTAAGTATGAAGTGTCTGGTCTGAGACCGGATTTGAACTCATGTCCTCCTGACTCCAGGGCCCGTGCTCTATCCACTGTACCACCTAGCTGCCCCTCAACTGCATTAAGCTTAGAAATCAAATTTGGAAATTTATTAGAACTAGGTTTTATAATAAAAATAGATGTGTTCTGTCTGAGTGAGAGTCCAAAGCACTTTCTGAATAAAGTGCATGAACTTTATGACCCATCTCTTCTGACTACTGAGAGCCTCATTTTCTTTTTTAAAATTTAGCAGCTGGACACCAGAACGGGAGATGTTTTAAGAGCTGACCATTCATATGATGCTTATTATGCATTTATTACATTGGTGACATTGGAATGATAGCCCAACTCTAGGTTTAGGTCACAGAAAATTTAAATAGGGCAAAAAGGCTTTTCCTGTGGCAAATTCAAGAACTTGCCTGCCAGAAACTAGAAAACCATCCCTAAAGGAGCTACAGAGTATCAAGGTTGAAGAACAAGAACTGTGAGAGGTCAAAATAATTTATTTAATCTGAAAAAGAAGGAGCCAACATAGTCTGAGTAGCACTCAGAGCAGAAAACTTAGCAGTTCCCCATGGCCCCACAGGACTGAACAGAAGGTAGGAAGGCAGCAGAGACTTGCGTTGTAATGAGAACAGATGTAAAGGGCTTGGCTGTTAAGAATGATTTGCATGCTGGAGGAGGCAGCCAAAGTGGGATGTGAATTTTTGTCCCTGGAGAACAGGAGAGGCAACCATCTATATTTAGAGGGTTTGGGTTTAGGGAAATATAGCAGCTGTACTAGTTAAACTCTTAAGAACTTTTTTAGACCTCTAATTCATACATGATGTATGTTTTCTTACACGTGGAGTATATATAATAAGGTGTATTTTGTAGCACTGCAATTGTATGATTCTGTGACTTCGGTATTATATGATAAACTTACCCCTTTGAAATGACTCTCTTTACTTGTCCAGCTTGTGAAGTCTTGGCAGCAGAAATATTTCATACAGAATTGAAACTCACCTCATTTGATTAGATATTGGTTTGATCAGATTCCAAAAAGAATTGTTCAGATTATTTCGTGTTTATGAAACTGTTCATGAAGTGGGAGATGGGGGCCACACTGACATGTAACAGCAGTAATGTTGACAAGCGCTGATCCTCTGCTTGTTGGTTTATTCTTGTTCATTTTCTCTCCCCTTTCTAGAATCTTATTCGAAGTCCTCGGGTGCACCGGCTTCTGCCATGACATTAAGTTCTAACCAGAAGATGCCTGCTGGTAATCTGAAGTTTTGTGTTATTTGTTGATGACGTTTTATTGTTTTATTGTTTTTGTTTTTGGTTAGGTAATAGGGTTAAGTGACTTGCCCAGGTTCACGCAGCTGGTAAATGTTATGTGTCTGAGGCCAGATTTGAACTCAGGTCCTCCTGAATCCAGAGCCAGTGCTCTATCTACTACGCTACCTAGCTGCCCCTTGGTGATGTTTTAAACAGCTTTGTAAATCATCTCCTCTATCCCCTTCCAAAATTTTATCTTCTGATTATTACAGTGATGTCCACAAGTTTGCTCTACTTTTAGGTAGTAAGTTAGAGTGGGTTGTCATCATGTCAAGGTATGTTGCATTTCTGATCTGAAATGGCCAAGGAGGTAAGACTGAGGTTCTAGGCTGTCTCTGGAGCTATATGATGGCCTGGTTAGGCTCTTCCGCAGCTGCCGATGTTTGTGGTTGGTTATGGTTATCTTTGTTTTCTCTTCTGGACCTGGCCCCCAGGGCATCAGAATGTAATTGAAAACCTTGTCTGCTCCCTCTGGATAGAGTATTCCTATTCCTTATTGTTCTGATTGTGAACAGTGAGAGCCATTGGAGGTTTTAAGAGATGTTTATGGATATGTCAGGAGAGTGCCTCTTGTTCTGTACCCTCTTCCCTGTCGTGTACTTGGGCTGAGCAATCCTGAGCTCTAAAACTTTCACCTCTGAATTTGTGGTAGAATAGATTGCTACTCTCTTTCAGCACTTCTTAGAGTAGAAAAAATGTAAGAAGCCCAGAATTCTAGATCATCCTAGATCCACTGTTTTGTGGTCTTTCTCTTAGCTTTTTAGTCACTCTGAGGTGATGATAATAATAGCTAATGCTTAGATTAGCACTCTCGAGATTTGCAGAGTGCTTTTGATTGTCTCACCTGTGGGGTAGGTGCTATTAACTTGAGGAAACTGAGGCTGAGAACTTAAATAACTTGCCAGTAGCTAATAAATTCCTGAGGAAGCATTCAAACTCAGATCTTCCTGACTCAGCCCAGTGCACTCAGTACTTTGTCCATTCTGCCACTCAGGTCATCCTGTAAAATGAGAGCTTCTCCTCTACTGCCTTCACCCATGCCCTCCCAAAAGACAAAACAATCCCCCCAAACTCGAGGTTATAGAGTCACAGGCTTGATCTGTTCACTCCAAGCAAACGTGGGTCCGCTGGTGGCTGTGGGAGCCTGGTCTTCATGAATGGAGTGAGCTGGCCTCCTCCTCCCCCAACTCTTTTGCCAGCCTTTGCTCGCTCCCTCTAAGATAATTGCAGGAATGGGGAAGGAGTATATAGATAGTAGTCTGCTTTCAGCTAGCCTGTCCTGAGGCCTTGATCAGCACATGACTGGCTAATGGTGATTGAGTCAGGAATAAGGAGAGGCAGAACACTTGGGGAAATTCTATACTCATTGACTTTCTGCATTTTGCCCTGAGCATCACAGTTCTGTAGAATTTTTTTTTTTAAATTTCTGGGAAGCACATGGAACCTGATCTGTAATGGTCAAGGAGTGTCTAAACCGTGAGTCCTGCCATTTTCCAGGCTTGATTTATTTCTTTAAATGCTGGGAATGAGGTGGCCCTGATGGAGAGTGAATTTGAGAGGAAAACTGCATTATAGAAAATATAATTTTTTTTCTCTTTGGGTACTAGAGGAGGACATAGGAAAGTTCTTACTAAGAAGTACTATTTACATTGGTCTGGATGAGTTATAGGGCTTGTCTACTGTTTTCTCTTTGTGTCTTAGATATCTTTCGGCATTGAAATTTTGGGCTGATAACAATGATATGATGGAGTGCTAAGGTTTTTGTTGGGGGTGGGGGGTGGGGGTTGTTGTGGATTTTTCCCCAAACTGATTCTTTCCATTTTTACACATGACTTTAGAAGATGGTTCTGGAGACCATGGGGATACTGCCAGCCTGGACGCTGTTAACACCATCTACAGTAGTCACTCCCCTTCACGAGCCTCTGCATCTCAGGAAGAGCCTTTTACCACCTACTTTGATGAGAAGGTCTCCATTCCCGAGGAGGAGGTTAGTAGCAAGGACACAGAGGGAAGATCCAGAGAGCTTAGGTGTCCTGCAGAATCCCTCAGGAGCCACTCAGCTCTCAGGATCCAGCCTTGGGGTCCCCTGTAGGATCAGCTCATTACCACTCCTGCCCAGTGAAATCCAAAGGTTCTGAACTTTGGCAAACAGTCTCTAAAAACTGGACTTTGGCTTTTAGGATTCTGCTGTGGGCAGACTGGCTGAGAGAGAAGGGAGCTAGCTTGCTCCTTTCTGTGGGCATGTTTTTCTTTCTGTCCCAAACAAAAGCTGTTTGTTTTCTTCCTCATGATGGCTTCAGAGCTGTTTGGATTTTACTTGGGTATTGTTAGTATAGTTAGAGGGTAAGGGTGATCAGAGTGATGAGGGTATTCTTCTGGGTATGTCATACCTATGTACTGGAAAAGGAGGTGCTCCTGCAGTGTGCAGAGGAGGAGGAGAGAAGTACCCACCCAAAACCCTTCACTTTTGTTACAGTTAGGTGTTATAAGACCCCTTCTGTAATAATGGTTTTGCAGTTTTCAATTTGGAGCAAAGCTCAATTTGTCCTCCTCATATCTTGTTTCTTGTGTAGTATTCTTGCTTTAGCTTCCGCAAACTCTGGGCCTTTACAGGGCCTGGCTTCCTCATGAGCATTGCTTATCTGGATCCAGGGAACATCGAATCCGATTTGCAGTCGGGGCGGTGGCCCAGTTTAAGGTGAGTCTTTGGCTTTTCCCCCTTCTCTGTACAACACACATCCTTTCTGCCCTTGACATGTCAGGATTGAGGGCTATTGAGTCTTTATGCAGATGCTAGAAAAGCAGTGTGGGGTACAGTTACTGTACTCGCTTCCATGTCAGCAAGCCCTGGGTTCAGGTCCTGTCTCTGACACATGCTGTCTGTGAACCTCTCAGTGGTCATCTCTCTAAGACTAGAAGTTTCAGAGAAGATGCTGCCTACATTGGTGGGGGTAATTTCCTCATTTATGAGTTCACTTTACCAGTGAAATCTCAGGTTTCAGAATCCAGAATTTTAGGGGAGCCTGAAAAAAATCTTATTACTGTCAAATGCAAAACACTTTTCCCATTAGGTCTTTCTTTTCACCTTTGTTCCTCTAAAAAAGAGGAGGGGGTTATGTTAGAGTTGGAAAAATTGAGACACACAGAGTTACAGGGATTTGCTCAGTTGTCCCAGCAGGTCAGGTGTAGACCAAGACTAGATAGAGCCCAGGCTCTATCTAGTCTCCAGATTGTCTCCTCTGGGGTCCAAGTCTGAATGTATGGCTCCTGCCCAAAGATTTCCAAGGAAGCTTTGTGTCGGAAAGGAAGGTCTTTCGCAGTTGTCTGATGAGCGTGTCCTCCATCCTGGGGGAATTCATTTTTCCTAGTTGCTCTGGGTTCTCCTCCTGGCCACTATCGTGGGGCTCCTGCTGCAGCGCCTGGCAGCCAGGCTGGGTGTGGTTACAGGCCTGCATCTCGCTGAAGTGTGTCACCGGCAGTATCCCAAGGTCAGTGACTCCCTCTGCTGCCCCCGAGAGCTGTGATGCTGTGACTGATTGCCAAGCCACAGTAGTTCCTCCCCTCCTTTGGAACCTTGAGGCTCATTCCAAGCATCCCCCATACTGACTGCATTCTGGACCAGGCATTCCTGCTAAGGCCCCTTTCATCCCTATTGTCTGTACTTTCACGTGAATAGCTTCAACAGTTTCCTTTGTAAGTCTCTCTACTGTAGTTTGTTATATTTTCCCTTAAATGGACCTGTGATTTCATTGATCCGGGAGTTCTCTTTTTAAAAATTTTTTTTAATTTATGGGAAAAAAATGCATTTCCATAATCTAGTACAATAAAAAAAAGGTGATTGCACATGAAACTGCAAATCTACTATGCACAACTTGCTATTCCTATCAAATATATAACAAAATTACCATGTAAATTTCTTCACCCCCCTTCCCTCCCCCACATGGCTACCATTAGACACAAACAGGTCTATTTGTAAAATTATTTTATACATACTTCTATTTGTCAGTTTTTTCTCTGGGTACAGATAGTGTTTTTCTTCAAATGTCCTTTTATGGTTAATTTGGGTATTTATAATAGTCAAAATAACTTGTTCACTCAAAGTTGCTCTTAAAAAGAGTTCTTTTAATAATGAATAATAATAGCTAATGTTTACATAGCACTTTAGAGTTTACAAAACACCATATAAAGGTTAACTCATCTGTCATCCTAATCTCTTCTATGCTTGTGATGTGGAGAGGGCAAATACTGTTATCTTCACTTTATTGACAAGGAAACAGGCCGAGGGTCAGACCACTGTTAAACCCCACAGCTAGGACTTCAGACCCAAGTCTTGTGCCTGCCTGCCATAACCTAGCCACCCACCATCACATTGGGAGGCTTAGAGAGCAGTGGCTGGGTGGCTTTTTTTCTCTTCTCCAAAGCCCCAGCACAGAGATGACCCTCAGTGTTTGCCTCACATCTGTAATGCTGAGTGGTACACTTCCCTCTTCTCTACAGACCCCCCTGCCTGGCCTCTCAGACAAAGACCTCACACTTTCCCTCCTTCTTTCCTTCCTTCCTTCAAATGCCTACTTTCTTCTTGTATTTCTGGGATATGGAAGAAGAAACATCTTTTTTTGTCTTTTGAGGGTTTTCACCCTCTGGTTTGTATACCCAGGTCATTAGCGTCTTCTGTTTCTGTCTAGCCACCACTGTTCATTTTGCCTTGTTCCAACCAGACTGGACTCCTTTATCTGTGCTCTCTTTCCCCCTCTGCCTTTGTGTGCACTCCTTCCTGTGCCTAGAATATTCTCTATCTTTGCCTGTTTAATTTCTATTTACCCTTTAAGGTTCAATTCAGATGCCGCCTCCTCCAAGAAGCCTTTCTGGATAGACTCTCTGCATCCTCCGTCTCAGTAAAAATCATATGTCATGGACCTCACAAAGTCCTTTGTTTTGTACCTCTCTAATATTATATATTGTAGTCATCTGTATTTGTGTCTTATCTGTCTTCTGGACTGTAATGTCCATGAGCGTAGAGATCTTGTTTTACCTCAACATTGTGCTAGCAACTAGTATGTAGTAGGCACTTCAGTATTTGCTGTGACTGAATCATTGGCTTTTTCAAGCAGCAGTGTAGTTGGAAGGTGTCCTTCCTTCCTTTCTGTCTTTGTTGTGTCCCCAGTGAGCCAGCCTGCTGTAACGATCAGAGCTTGGCTCTAGCTGCTTGGTATTTTACCCACCTGACTCTTCCCTTAAGCTGAGGCTGCGCTGCACCTGGGTCACTAATGTCACCGTCCATTTCTTTGTTTGCCTGTGGGCCTCTGTGACATTAACTGTCCTTCAGTCTTTTCCACATTTAGGTGTGTTTGGTTTCCAAATTAGATTCACCTAGAGGAGGCCCCTTTTCTTCTGTATTCCTTTCCTTTACTGCCCTTCTACCCCTCTTGACTGTATGTGCATGTAGTAGGTGCCTAATACATTTTCATCAGTTAAATATTAATCCCTCAGACTTTTAGGATATTTTCAGTTGGGCAAGAAGGGCCCCTGCCTGTCCTAAGGGGTGCCATTGAATGGAATGAGAATACAAGTGGCTTCCCCATTATGTCCTCTCTGCTTGTCCCCTGATGCCACAAGGAAAGAAGCACGTTTGCCTCTCTGTAACTGAGTCTGGTTAAGAGAGCTCTGAGGATGGGACAGGTGGAGCAAAAATATGGCACTTCGCTACATGTAGCTGGGTAATTGTTCTCATTGCTCATTGGCCTATGCTATGATACAGGGTATGCCTAAAGTCTTAGTATAGCTTTAAGCTTAATAGGTTCAAAATGCACTAAGATTTTAGGGACAAACTATGTATATGTGCAAAAATCCCAGGATCTCCAAGGAAGTGTTCTCTGAAATGTCAGCTTAATTTTGAACTTGATTTCTCCACTGTTTGTGTTAAGGTCCCCCGAATTATTCTGTGGCTGATGGTGGAGACTGCCATCATAGGCTCCGATATGCAAGAAGTCATAGGGTCAGCTATTGCCATCAATCTCCTGTCTTCTGGGAAGTGAGTTTTTTTCCCCTGAAACTTTGAGTCATCCCAAATATTCCTAGCCCTTCACTAAACCTCCCTGGGTGAAGAGAGCATGTGATACAAATTGAGTCCCCTGGGGAAGTGTGACTGAGAACCTCTTATCAGCGAAATAGCTGTGAGAAGGACACTGCATTGAGTGCGTGGAGGAGGGCTTTTGATCCTCACCCTGCAGTGGCATCTGCTGTGAAGGAAGAGGTTGTTGGCTTCTCTTCTCAGTGGGCACTGTGTTCCTCATGCTGGCAGAGGCCTGGGCCACCTGCCTCCTCCAGAATTTGGCCTTTCTGGGGTTTGGGGAGGTGGGCTATTCCACCCTCCTCTTCTCTACCCTCCCCTCATCTTTATTTCTGATCTCTGGCCTAGGGTTCCTCTGTGGGGTGGAGTTCTCATTACCATAGCAGATACCTTCGTGTTTCTTTTTCTGGACAAATATGGTAAGGAGAAGTTATGGGCTGTGGTGAGAGGGGATGCAGAGAGGAAACAGTGTTGGAAAAAAGGTCAAGTTTTGCCTTAGAAGCAGTATGTCTCATTAAGGAAACCTTCTTTCCATGTTTCTTTCCTTAGGTTTGCGGAAACTGGAAGCCTTCTTTGGCTTTCTCATCACCGTCATGGCCCTCACATTTGGATATGAAGTAGGTTTCATAGATTGCTTATTAGCTTCTAAAAGCCAGTTACTTTATAGAAACAGGAAGTAAATCCCACACACGGATAAGCCATTTTGTACCTCCATCAGTCCTGAAATGACAAGCTCAGTCTCAGAGATCTCCACACCCAAGCCAGGCCATCCCTGGTATGTGTGTGGCTTCCCAGATCAGTCAGGAGCCTGGACTAGAAAGCAGACTTATGTTCCAGATCCCTTAGAACCAACCTGCTTTGGGTCTGTCTTGCAGAACGGGGGCTGCTTTGACATTGTACTGCCCCTTGGGGAAGGGAAGTCAGCTGTCAGGGTCTGACTTAGCAGCCTAGCAGAATTCAGACCTGTAGCTTTCTGGGTGATGGTTGTCAATTACAGAATGGACCCCAAATTTGTATTGTAGGGGTAGAGAGTAGGGAGGCTTCGTTGTTTTTTGTGCAGCAGCACTTAGACTCAAGGAGCTTTAGAGGGCCTTGTTGGAATGCGGTGGTCAGGGCAAGGATGGATATGTGGGAAAGAGCAAAGTGTCCCCTTCCTTCTGAATCCTTGTTACAAATTGATTTCAGCTGGTTGACCTGGGTGAGCTTGACTTTTTCGCTGTAGTTCTCAAATACATGTGGACTAGGCCTCAAACTTCCAACCCAGAGTAAATGTTGAAGGAAACGTGCGAGTCAGATTTAAGTGATTTTTAAAAAATTATTCATTCTTTTTGCCTCCATTCATAAACCCTATGAGGCTGACAAGATTAAGGTCCCTTCTCTCTGCCTCCCACCCCTGTGCTCCTTCAGGATAGTACCCATTGCCAGGGACTGAAGACCTGCTAGGCCTGCTGCACTGAGGAACAGAACATCATTCACATCAGGGTAGTTGGGAACAGTGGGGACTGTAAATTCCATTATAGCCCAGGGCTGGGGCACCTGTTTACATTATGGAGCCTGACCATGACCAGAGGGAGTAGATGCTAACCACTTTGATGTTGGTGTCCAGTATATTACAGTGAAACCCAACCAGGCCGAGGTGCTGAAGGGCATGTTCATACCCTCTTGTTCAGGCTGTCGCACGCCGCAGATTGAGCAGGCCGTGGGCGTTGTGGGTGCTGTTATCATGCCTCATAACATGTATCTGCACTCTGCACTGGTCAAGGTAAGTGAGTCCTGATCCTGCGTATCCTCAATTTGTGAGTTCTTTCCCTTTAGTAACAAGTGAAGCAAATTTAAATTAAATTACCCGTTTTCTCTTAAAGGATCAACTTTGGAGGTTTTAAAAGAGCAGAGTTCCCTTCATGTACTGGAGGTTTGTTTTAAATGATTGAACCCTGCTGCATAGAACCAACCAGTAGGATTAGAGGTTTCCAGACCCTCAAAGAAACTGAGATTCAAGGGCTTTGTAAAAAGGCTGAATGCATACTGAGCTGGTTTTCTCTTCTTCTCCTGAGTCTGAGTGGCCCTAGGGAAAAAAACTATCCTATGTCCCTCATAAGAATCGTGTCACAAACTGGGCTGTGCCTATCTTCTTTTGCCTCTGTACCCTCTAGCAAAGTCAGGTGAAGGTGCTGGGTACCCTTGTTAACGGGCCAGGAAAATATTTTCTCCTCTTGGGGGTGAGGACAGGTTTGGTGGAGTGGTGGGGAGGAGGGATGTGGGAGATTATAAATGAGAAGCCAGGAGTCAAGTTCTGGTAGAAAAGAAAGTGAGCTGGGCTGCCCATTGGCCATTCCGAATAGTGAAACAGAGAAGGCTACTTTTCTGCAGCGAAAACTACTTTTCTGTTTCCTTAAGGCCTTATGTATCCATAGCAGCTGGAAAGCAGAGAACTGTATCATTATAAAAATTCCCCTTTGAACTCATCACATAAAGAATGAGAAGGGAATGTCACCTTCCTGATCCATAGTAATTCTGCTAAAGTTTTTTTCCTCAGAAGGGTATTTATTTCAATTCTTCAGTCTTGAGGTGCAGTAGATAAAGTGCTGGGAGGGGAGACAGAATGACCTGGGTTCAAATCCAGCCCCTGACTCTTACTAATTCAACTGTAAAATGGGGATAGTAATAGTACTTGTCTCTCAGGGTTGTTGTGAGGATCGAATGAGATACTGGTTGTAAAACGTTGAGCACAGTGCCTGGCACATAGCAGGAGCTGTGTGAATGCAGTTATCCTCTTTGTGTCAGAGAAAATCCTTTAAATTAACAGAGCAGTGAGGTGATTTGTCTGGCTTTGCTCTCCTTCCTTCTTTCCTCCTTCTGTCAGACTTTATTGTTTGGCTTAGCTTAGAAACGTCAAACCCAGGTAAGAATGCCGGCCTCAGACTGACACTGTGTTTATTATATTTTTATTTTGTTGGACGTTTCCAAGTTTACATTTTAATATGGTTTTGTGGCTTCCTGGGCCTTGCCTGAGAGTTTGACAGCTCTGGTTTAGAGGCATAACCAAGAATAAACCTGACAAGGGCATTAAAAGCCCTTCGCAGACTGGCTCCTTCCTGGACTTTTTACACATTCTCACTTTCACGCACCCAGTGGAGGTTAGACATCTTGCTCACTTGTGAGAGAGCACGGTGTCCTGTCTCCCATTTCTGGGCATGGAACTCTCCCTCCTCCCTCCATCTTGTAGAATCCTCCCGCTGCCTTCAGAGCTTAGCTCTAGGGCCGCTTTCTCCATGAGGCCTCCCCTGATCTTCCGTCTCCCCCTAGTTTGTACTACAGGAAGTTCTTAATCTTTTTTTGTGTCACTGACTCCTTTGATAATTGGGTGGAGCCCTTCTCGGAGGAATGATTTTAAATGCAGACAGTAAAATGCATAAGCTTACAAAGGAAGCCAGTTATATAGACACTGAGGCAGAGAGGGACAGACCTGATATCAGAAAGACCTGAGTTCAAATTTGCCCTCAGTTTGGCTGTTATTGGCTGTGTGACCCTCGACAAGTCAGTTGACCTCTCTCTGTTTCCTAATCTGTAAAGTGAGGGCAAATAATAGTACCTCCCTCACTGGGTTATTGTGGGGGTAAAATAAGCACTTTGCAAACCTTATTAAAGCCCTATATAAATGATAGCTGTAAATATTATTATATTGAAATACAGGTTTTTTTTCAAAGTTTATGGAGCCCAGGTTAAGGAGCCCCCTTTGGTGCCTTCTCCACTAATAATTTTTTCTTTTACACATTTTTTTTTAACTTTTTTTTTCTTACTTTATTTACTTTACTTATTTATCTGTACCTATTTGGGCACATGTTTTTTCTTCCTGATAACATGGAAGCTCCTTCAGCACAGAAACTGTTTTGTTCATTTTTGTCTCTGTGTCACTAGTGCCTAGCACAAAGTAGGTGCTTAATAGTTGCTTGTTAACTGTTGGAATGTGTTGCTGTTCGTAACCTCAGGTCATTCACCTGCTATATCACTGGGCCCCTCCCTTAGCCACTTCCACTGACCAAGTTCATGGCCACCTCTGTCTGTCCTCTCTAGTCCAGGCAGGTGAACAGGGCCAGCAAGCGGGAGGTCCGAGAAGCCAACAAGTACTTCTTCATTGAGTCCACCATTGCTCTTTTCGTCTCCTTCATCATCAACGTCTTTGTCGTCTCAGTCTTTGCAGAGGCCTTTTATAACGAAACCAACGAGCAAGTGGTAAGTGACTGTGGGCCACAGCGAGTGGGGTAGTGAGCCAAGTGCTGAGGAAGACCTCGGAATCAAGGTTGAGGGTCAGTTCTGGGCAAGTGCTTGGGGAACAAGGGGGCTGGCCTGCCCAGGGAGACAAGGAGAAAGCAGCAGGAAAAGCCAGGGCAGGACAGGAGCTGTAGGAGCCAAAGGGAAAGGGTAAAGATGCCTTGATGGTGTGGAACAGCTGCCAGGCCTCAGCCTCCAGAAGTTAATTCTACAGTCTTTAGAGGCCCAGTCCTCCGACCCTGTTTCTGTTGATGGTGCCCCCATCTTCTCAAGCTCAGAATTTCAGAGTCATCTTTGACTTTTCCCTCTCCTTCTTTCTCCCCTGTCCTCTGGGCAGTTGCTGAGGCGATTTGATCTCCACTTGATGTCTGGCATCTGTCCCCTTCTCTCCACTTACACTACCACCATCGTAGCTCAGATCTTTTCCCTTTTGCTTGGATTATTTTCCTTAACCTCCAGGGTCTCCTTTTTCATACCTATTATTCACACAGATAGCAAAATAATCTTCCAAATGAACAATTCTGAGCATGTTAACACCTCCCTTTCTCCTAGTCACACCCCCAAACCTGTAACAATTCCCTTTTGGAAATCGGATAAAATAGGAATCTCCAAGCCTCTCACTGAAAGCCCTCCAGAGCTGTGCTTCATCCTCTCTTTCCAGTCTTCTCACACCCTCCCCCTTGCCTATAGCATACTCCACAGCTCTGCCTTTTGAAATCCTTCTCTTCCTAATGTTGGGAATACTTTGAAGTTGGAGGCAGCATTGAAGGTCATGAGTGGCCAGCCCAAGAGTCTCAGTGTTTTACCCTTATAATTTCCAGTAGTAACCAAAGATCTTGGCTCATGGCTGTGGTTTTGATTTAATCAGCGTACCTAGGATTTGGTACTGTAATTATGGGACAAGACCTTTGGGCTAGAGAAGTATCCTGGCCCATAGAGAAGTTGGGAGCTCAAAGCACATTTTTGAGATTCGTAACACAAAGCTAAAGGCCATCTTTTGGTACCTGGAAGGTCTACTGTGCTGCCAAGAGGAAAATGAAGTGAAACATTTAATTTAGTAGAGATAGGATCTGAAGTACTGACAGGCAGAGAGGAGACGGGCTGGTGTGGGGGTCCTTAACAAAAACAATTTTGGAGGCCAGGGGCTTTTTCTTTGTATTGGACATTCACATTCAGTAAATATTTTTGATGATAGTAATAACTTGGAGAAGCTAGGCTGTCATTGGAAGGGAGATGCAGTGTCCTGGTTGCTGATCCAGGCTAGTTCCCAATCTTTGTCCAGGCAGATCCTTTTATTACCTGTATTATCTATAATGACTTTGGTGCAGCCTGCAGTAGGGGTCTTCCCTTTCAGCCCTGTTTCTCCCTTTTCATCTCTGAAAAGAAAATGTACTCTTTTATCTTTTGGATTCCAGCATGAAATCTGCGTCAATAGTAGCAGTCCTAACAGTGACCTCTTCCCTCTAAACGATACTGCGTTGACTGTGGACCTCTACAAGGGGGTGAGTATCTTTGCATAAGGTCACAAGTCCATGGGAGCAGGTCTTTCTGCATAAACCTCTTTAAGAGCCTACCACCTTGGCCAAAATCCACTTCTGTGTTTCCAAAGTACAGGTGTCAGGCTCCTGATTCTCTGTGGGGATTAAAGGAGCAGCTGATCAGACGGGGATAGACAATTTTAATAAGGAGATTAAAAATAGGGCAAAAAACAGGCAATAAGAGCCTCGAGTTGGATGAGAAGGGTTAGGGAAGTGGGTGGAAGCACAGGTGAAGGCTAGTTTTCAAATCAAAAGCTTGGGGACAGACACTTGGCACTTACTAGCTGTGTGATCCTGGGCAAGTCACTTAATCCCAATTACCTCACGAAAAAAAAAGCCAAGAAATAATTAAAAAAAAAACTTGGGGAAAGGAAGATTTCTTTGTTTAAATTTCTTTGAAAGTCCCGAACCTCACACTCTTATGTGGATGGGGTACATAGTGATGACCACACCGATAAGAGGAAACCAGGAAAAGTGGTTCTTTAGTTGTTGTGGAAGTAGAACATGAACTGAAGCGTGTACCTGACTTTCTTTCCTGCCTTCTCTTTCTCCAGGGAGTGGTACTAGGATGTTACTTTGGGCCTGCCGCACTCTACATTTGGGCCATAGGCATCCTGGCTGCCGGACAGAGCTCTACCATGACGGGGACCTATTCTGGCCAGTTTGTCATGGAGGTATGTGCTGTTCTTGCGCAGGAGGGAGGTGAGGAAGGTCAGACAGGTTCGCAACTTTAATTTGTTCTCATCTCTTCCCCGCATTTCCCCTCTGTTCCTGGTTCAGCCGTGATAGGAGATATTTAGCTTGGGCTGTTGTTCTTCTGCCCAGGGATTCCTGAACCTAAGGTGGTCACGGTTTGCCCGAGTGATCTTGACACGTTCTATTGCCATCATCCCAACACTGCTGGTCGCAGTCTTCCAGGACGTGGAGCATCTTACAGGGATGAATGACTTCCTGAATGTGCTGCAGAGTTTACAGGTGAAGAGGCAGCCACGGGTGGCTTTGGCTTGGGCTCAGCCTCCCCGAAGGCAGCACCGTGGGCCAGGCACTTAGAGGAGAGCCACTCTGCATTTTGACCAGTCCCTGGGTATAGCTGGGACCCTGTCTGGGAGGTTGGGGAGTGATGGAGACGGAGCAGACCAGGTCCCTATCTTGGCAGGCAGCTCTGCAGCAGTGGAAAGAATGGAGCCCCTAAGTTGGCTCTCTGCCAGTTACTACTCTGCAGTAGGCTTTCAACCTTCGGCATGTTGTTCACCTCGCTGGGCTTCAGTTTCATCATCTATTAAATGGAGATGATAATGACACGCCCACATAGGGTTCTTTTAAAAATGTCTTGAGACCTTTTGTTTTTTATTTCCTCTCCATCTCCTTCCCCAAAAGCCATCCCTTGTAACAAAGAACAAAAAAAAACCAAAAACAGAAATCAGTTTAGCAAATAATCAAAGCAGTCTGTTCCGTGTTTTCCATGTGGACCATGTTCCACACTCATACATCTCTGTGGGCTTGTTTGAGGAAAGTGTGTTTTTTATTTGTATATGTGGGCCCTTTTCCATTTATTTAATTTTAGTTTTCAGCATTCACTTCCACAAGATTTTGAGTTCCAGATTTTCTACCCATCTCACCCCTCCCCTCCTAAGACAGTGTGCATTCTGAATAGCCCTTCCCCTAATCTGCCCTCTATTTTATGTCCCCAGCCCTTCTCTTTTCCCCTTCTCCTTCTAGAAGAAAATATTTTTTAAGTAAGAAGGTACGGTATTAATTAAGTGTGCACTATTTTCATAGTCTAGAGGACAATTAGTGTGTGAACTAATAGAGATGTGTGCTTAATGGGGACTGGCATAGTAAATATGCATAAGGATAGTGGGGCTCAAAATAGCTGCTGGCCTTGCCTCATCTTTTGAGGCAGAGATGTTCTCCTAAGGGTAGGATGTTACATACCTTGTGTCAGCCTCAGTCTCTGTGTTGCTCCATTGTTTTCTTTTGTCTTCTGCTCCAGGGGCTCCTTCTTGCCTCTGGGATCAGCACAGAGTCCCCTGTTTGGCTTTTAGGGCCCGCCCCTCACCCTCCAGCTCCAGCCTGCTTCTCTAGGCTTGTTGCCTGTCTCTGTCCCTTACGCGCTGCCCATCCCAGCCATACTGGTCCCCAGCCTTCCTTCTCTGGCCTTCTTCCCCCGACTCCCCTGAGCCTCCCAGAACCCCTTGTAAGTGCTGCCACCTACAGGAGACTTAGCCTACTCCTTCTGCTTGCTCAGGCCTTCTGGGAAAATTGTTTTGTATTAAGTTGTCATCATGCATGTCACTGCGCAGACCTGCACTCCTGGAGGACGGACTTTTGTGCTCAGTTCTAGCGCAATGTTTGGCACACAGTAGGTGATTAATAAATTTGCTTCTTGAATTGAAGGGAATCTGTAAAGATTGTGTTAGTAAAATATATTTCTTCAAAAGATCAGTGCTGAGGTAATGGTGCTTATGCAGTATGTATACATGCACACGCACACACACATACATACATACATACATACCAGTGCTGGGGAGTGGAGCAAGGATGTGTGTCAGAACAATAGGAGGAATTAGTGTTAAGTGGTGGTAATTAGGTAGGTCTTGGAGGAGTGGAAAGGGGGCCGGGCATAGGGATGATTTGAGTATGTTATTCATCTGCTTTTGGCTTACCACTCACTTCCTCTTTGGAATGATTCAGATACTTAGGACCCCTCTCTCATGAGATTTCTCTTTTTCAGCTTCCCTTTGCCCTCATCCCCATCCTCACATTTACCAGTTTGCGTCCAGTGATGAGTGACTTTGCCAATGCACTGTGAGTATGCCATAGACATTTCCCTCTGGCTCCCTTCCCTCCCCCCCCCGCCCCCATCAGAAGTGCCAGTGTCCTTGGGGAGATAGTCTTAACCCAGTGACCCTAGTAGAAGGAATCATTCTAGGGATCAAATACTTTTTTTTTTTTTTTGCAGGGTGAGCAGGGAAGGGGGGGACCCACCCTTTGAAATGCAGAGAACATTTTTCTCCCTGGGCCCTGATTGTAGTGGCCCTGACCTCAGTGATGATGTGGGAGAAATTTAATTCAAGGACCTACTATGTGCAGGGCAGAACACTATGCTGGGTACTGGGGGGAAGATAAAAACAACTCAGACCTTGTTCTCGAGGAGTTTACAGTTTAATTCAGGAATGTATGTGGGGAGAAGAGATATGTTCGCAGATGACTGTGATGCAAGGGGAAAATGTGTTATTGTTTAAACAAGTTGGCCAGGCATAGGACTATTTGAAGAGGAAAATTGCTTTCAGTTGGGAAGTTCAGGGGAAGCTTCATGCAGGATTGGTTCTTTATTTGCATTTTGAAGGAAAGGAGTGACTTCAACATGCAGGGTTTGGGCTGGGGTAGTCCATTCCCAGCATGGGGGATGGGATGGCTTGGATCAAGGTGTGGAACCTTGAGGAGGTAGGATAAGAAGGGGTTCCAGAGGGTAGAGCCTGGCTTGGCTGGAATAGAAAGTATGTGAAAGAATAGTAGTGAAACCTGAGATGGAAGAGGTAAGGCAGAACCCTCTTGAGTAAGTACATGACCAGTAGTGTAAGCACCTCTTTACTTGGTTCAGTTGGTGGAAGGAGCCACAGAAGTCTTTTTTTGTAGTAGAAGAATTAAGTGATTAGTGGTATGTTGGGAGCATCAGAGAGTATCCGTGTAAAGGATAAATCTAAAGGGGGTGAATTAAAGGTAAGAGAGTCAGGAGAGAGTCTGTTCAGACCATCTAGTTGAGAAGAGATGAGGGCTAGAACTAGGATGGCTGCAGTGGGAGTAGAAAGGTGGAACTGAGAGAGCTTAGTCACTGATTGGATGGTGGGGGTGTGAAGAGTCAGCATTCTGAGGCCACCACCCTAGGTGACTGGGAGGGGCAAGTTTGGGGGAGTAGGATGAGTTCCTTTTTGGACACGTTGAGTTTGAGGAGCTTGTGAAATATCCAGGTGTTGTCAGCTGGTGGAAACATGGGGCTGGATCTGGCAGTTGGGGACAGAGACATAAAGTTGGAAGTCACCTTCCCAGAGGTGAACTTGAAGCTTTTAGGAGTGGGCGAGACTGGAACAAGAAGAGGACAGGACTGGGAATACTCTGTGGAACCAACAAAGAGTCAGAGAGGTCGGAAGGAAACCATGAGAATTCCTGCCGTGGAAGCCAGGGGTTGGAAGTATCAGGAAGGTGGTGATGATCAGGAGTGCACAGTGCAGAGAAAGGAAGATGGGGACAGGAAGGAGGTCGTTATTAGATTGAGGATGAGGAAGTCATTAGTGATCGTGGAAAAGAAAATTGACCTGGCGGGTTGGGGTCCTGACTAAAGAACCTTTGCAGTCTCTGCCCAGGAACCCTTAAACTCGCTCGTCCTGTCTGCCTTTCCCCAACAGAACTTCCTTGGTGTAAAGGGCTTCCTGCTGACCTCGGTGCCAGGGAGTCAAAGATCCTCCTGGCTTTGCATTCAGAGGCTGTAGCAATGGGAGGACAGCTTCTTTTTCTTTTTGTCCTGTCGCCTTCAAGGCACTTAAATCTCAAGGTGTCTCACTTGCTTCTCTGTGGAAACCCTGTGTGAGGGTATAATGCAGAGCTTTGCTCCATTTTCAGAATAAAATAACACAGTCACAGAATTTGAGCTTCATGAGGGCCCTCAGACCAATCTAGTCTCACGCATCTGTAAAAGGATGCCCCTCCCTCATGACCCCCCTGACAAGAGATTGTCTGGCTTCTGCCAAGGAGAAGACATTTCTCCTCCCATTCCGTTTTTGGACAGCTCGATTTGTTAGGAAGTTTTCCCTGACATCAAGCCTACACTGGCCTCATTGTATCTTCCACACGTTGTTCCTGGTTCTGTTTCAAACACTTGATAACAGCTCTTGTGCCCCACTTCTTTTCTGCACACTACACAAGCCCCTTTCCTTCAGTATTGCCATTGCCTCCCCTGAACTTGAACTCTGTGGCTGCTCTCCCCACAGCAGGCTGGGTCCTCATTCATAAGAGCAGACTCACAGCATACTGGAGCTGGGAAGGTCCCTAGACAGCATCAGATTCAATGCCCTTGTTTTTATGGACGGGAAGCGTGCCCTGTCCAGTGAGTTAGTGGCAGAGAGAGCCGGGCCTGGAGACTAGATTTCTGACTCCCAGGTGCAGTGCTCTTTCTGCCATAGCTGCCCGTCACTTGAGCCCCCAGGGTTTGGTTACCTTGTCTTCTTTCTGGTGTCTATATGTCATTGCTTTCCTAACCTGAGGAGCCTTAGCATCTGGCTTGGCCAGTGGGAAAGGTCTTTCTTTGCTCCCTGAAAAGAGCACACAGCCTGTCTTTTAGGTTTCTTAAGAATTTTGCTGCACTCCAGGGAAACGTGCAAGAGCATACAATGTCAAAGGGCAAAACTGCAAAGTTGATACCAGTTTTTAGTACTCCTAGTTTTCCATGTATACTTACCAGGAATTAGGCCATGCTCTTTCATCAGTTGACAGTTCCATCTGGCCCAAGATGTTAGATTTGTTCTTGAATTGTCTACAATGGAATTAGTTTGGTAAAAGTTTGATGGCTCAGTCCTTCTGTTCCTCATACCTGTGTCTTCACAGGTAATCTCTTCCTTCCTGCCTCTAGTTTGACCCGTGTTTGTCTATGGTTATAAAGGAGCTCTCAGGCCAGAGGTGGAATGAGCACCTTGAGGTCACTTGGAGTAGGTATGCCAAAGAGAGGCCTGGGGTTTCAGAGGAGCCTGGGATCTCAGGTGAAAGGCACTAGGTGAACCCCTTGGGCTTGTTTTACAGAGTAGTGGTCAGTTACTGGATAATTTGAAGGAACAGAGAGTGATACCCCCAAAGAACCCAGACTGGTGTCTGATGAAGAACCCAGACTAAGATGTGATCTCAAATAGCCAAAGGAGTGTCAGGTGGAAGGGATGTATCTCTCAGCTCCAGAGAGGAGAATTGAGCTCTGTACTCCACTCTTTTCTCTCAGTCTTGTTGTCCATGAGGAGAGTGGAGAATTGTACCGAGAGCCTCAGCACTCTTACTGTAGTTAGCTCTCTGTTCTTGGTCATGGTGGAAGGTGATAGCATGAAGTATTCAAACTTAGGCATCTGGACAAGCATCTGTTAAGTGTCTGCTTGGGTCAGGCACTGCTCAGTGGGTGCCATGGGTACAAAAACAAAAGCAAAACAGTTTCTGTCCTCAAGAAACTCATCTTCTACTGTGCATATAGAGATATGTGGAAAATGGATACGAGAGAATGGGAAGGATGCTGGGAAGCCCAGGGCCTCCTGCAGAGCGTGGAGCAGAGCTGAGTCTGGAGGGGGGATGCTCAGAGGCAGAGGGAAGGAGCGAGTGCATCCCTGGCTGGATAGAGGCGGGGCAGAAAGTGTGCTGTTCTGGCTGGGCCTTGAAGAGCTTTGACTGTCCAGAGTTTGTATTGGATCCTGCATGTACTAGGGAAAAACAGGAGTTTGCTGAGTAGCTGTGTGGGGAGACTTCAGGGTCAGGAGGCGATTACAAGAGTCCAGGGCAAAGTCATTTTTCTCTGGTTTTGTCACGTGAGATCTTCACGTGAGAGGCACCTCTTTAATTCAGTCTAGGAACAGATTGAGTTAATGTTTCTTTCTTTGTTGTTGTTGTTGTTTTTATTTTGGGGGGTAATGGGGGTTAAGTGACTTGCCCAGGGTCACACAGCTAGTAAGCATTATGTGTCTGAGGCCAGATTTGAACTCAGGTCCTCCTGACTCCAGGGCCGGTGCTCTATCTACTGTGCCATCTGGCTGCCCCATGAGTTAACGTTTCTTGACTGTGCCTTTGGATGGAGTGGGGGTTTGTTGATTTATTTGTTCATGGTCATTCTGGGCAGGAAAGGAAACTTATCCTGGACTAGATACCAAAGGTAATGTCCACCCAGATGTAGTTACAATTTAGCCTTGTTTAGTTTACTCTTGTACTCCTGTGACAGGCACTTAGATATTTGAGACTCTTTTCTGTATTTGAGGGCATCCCCCACATTAAGAATAATTACAGCTTGTTTTGTAATTCCTATCACCTTTTTGTTCTCTATGATGAGCCCTTGTGGTCCCTCACACAGAGCCAATGGCCCTCCTTGGTTGCCTTGTCTAGTTTTGAATATGAAAAATCTTTTATCTTTTCTCTGTGAAGCTTTCAGTGATTTTGTTGACTATGAACCACTATGTGAATTTGATTTGTAATTAAAATTTTCCCCCAGTTTTGGAAACTTGCAGATCACTGGCTAGGATGAGACAACCATTTCTTTTTAATTTTTAATTTTTTTTTTTAGGCAATTGAGGTTAAGTGGCTTGCCCAGGGTCACATAGCTAGTAAGTGCCACATATTTGGTCTGAGGATGGATTTGAACTCAGGTCCTCCTGACTTCAGGGCCGGTGCTATATTCACTGTGCCACTTACTTGCCCCAAGAGACAACCATTTCTTCAGTGATATTAACCAATTCTTTTTTGCAGGGGCTGGAGGATCGCAGGTGGGATCCTCGTTCTTCTTATCTGTAGCATCAACATGTACTTTGTGGTTGTCTATGTTCGAGACCTGGAGAGCGTGGCGCTGTATGTGGTGGCTGCTGTAATCTCTGTGGCCTATCTTTGTTTTGTGTTTTACCTGGTGAGTGATTTCCAAGGAGTGTTTGGGGAAGGAGCCATAGGTCCCAGGGTCATGGAGGCTTGGAGCTGGATCCAAAGTTTGGAGAGAGAGAATTGACACAGTGTTGCATATGTTGCTCAATCTCCCAGTCCCTTAGCAAGATTTGCAGGAAACTGTCTGAAGATCAGTTAGCTGTAAAAAAAAGTTTTTCCCTGAAATTCTACCTTGGCTCCTAAGACCTACCCCTTCTAGCCTCTTCCTTGTAGTTTCCTTTCTGGCTCCCGTCAAAGATTAACAGCCACAAAGGTGCAAGAGCCCCAGAGAGTTTTATGGAAACCCATCCTGTGGGTCAAAAAGAGAAGCCACGAACAGGGCCTTCGAGCGCTTTCCTTCAGAATGGGACCTTCTAGTCCGTTATCTCGCCTGGTTTACCTGGAGTCTTGGCAGTGAGAGCACAGCCTCCCTGCCCGTTCCCTTTGTCTCATAATGAATCCTCCAAGGCAAGGGTACTTTATCTGGATAGAGTTCAGGAGGCCTATGACCTTGGAATAGTTTTATTTTCCCTAACTTGTAATTTAAAGTTAGCATTTTCTTCAGTTATGAATCTAAGCAATATACGTTATTCTGAGAAGGGTTCCATAGGCTTCAGCAGACAAGGGGCTTCATAACCCAAAAAGGGTTAAGGACCCTGCCCAAATATTCCATCCTGCTGTGTTCCCTCCAGGGTCACCCCTTCCAAAGAGCTGTGCTCCATAAAATGCTTTCCTGGCCTCTTGGCTGGGCCCGGCTTCTTATCGCAGCCAGAAATAAGTTTGGTCCCTGGACTGCTCCATTCACCAAGTCCATAGGCTTCAGACTAGGCCAGGAAGCAGTTCAGTGCCATCTCTCCATCCATTGCCTGTTGGAGGTTGTAGAGGAGCTTGTTCTTGGGGTTGGAGGTTAGATCCAGACGAATGTCTGCGCCATCTGCCCCTTTTGCCAGAATTCCCTTCCCTGAACACTTCCCTTCTCTCTTGGCTTCACCCCACCCAAAGGAACCAGCAGTTCTGGGGCAAGCTGAGGCCAAATGAGTTGGGGAAAGAGAATGTCCTTCTCGAATACGGGAGTCCTTGGGGCGATAAGGAGGTATACGTGTACATGTGTAACTGTGTATGAAAGAGAGGCCAAATAGGTGAAGGAAGTGGAGACGCTGTCTGTATAGGAACAATGCCAATCCCAGACAGCTCCCCCATAAAGCCTGGGCGAGTATGTTTGACTGGCTAGTAGCCTGCTGTTCACCTTTATCTCTAGCTAATGGAAACAGCTGTAGAGATCAGCTTTTCGTTGCCCCAACCCCTCCCCATTATAGGCACCCTGGTATGTGCAGGCTCTCAGTCTGATGGGGGAGACCAGACACACACCAAGGTAGAGACGTGGCTGGTCATTGCCTAGAGTTCCAGATTAGTAGTAGACTAGGGAAAAATAGGAGCCATGCTCAGGCAGATTTTGTAGGGCTGGGTGGCAGTTAAGGGGGAGGGAAGGAGAGAGAGGCTTGTGCTGACCGGGGGTGGTATGCACGGGTTTGACTTGGAGCAGAGCCAGAAACCAGCGGGAAACAAGCAGTGTGGGCAGGGCAGGAGTGAGTGACCGTTGTGTCTTCTCTTTCAGGGTTGGCAATGTCTGATTGCTTTGGGCTTGTCCTTCTTGGACTGTGGACAGACGGTAAGCATCAATAAAGCCCTGCTGACTGAAGAAGCTGCCGGCCGCGGCTACACTAGCTAAGCAGTGGGTTAGCCTGTCTGTTCTGCGCAGGTAGCCATCAGAGCCAGTGTGTTTCTATGGTTTACTGTGTGAACTTAGCCACATGTATGTGCCATTGCACAAAGCTTCGGGATCCCCTTGTTTTTTTCCAAGGTCCACTGTGTATTTTGGGGGTGATTGTCCTGCAAAGGTGTTAAAAGTACGGAATTTTTTTTCTTTTTTGCTTACCTTGTGACCTTCCCCTTTTAAACTGTGGGTGTCATCCAGGTGGGGGGGGTTAGATGTGGGCTTTAAAATGCTGAATTTTGCTGCTATTAACAACTAAATTACGGTCCCAACATTAAGCTACAGAGCAGTCACCTCTAGTAGAGGCAGATTCCTTTGACTTTCCTCTCGGGGTCTATATTTAGGTGCCCCTTTACTGTGAAACCCTTTCATTTTCTGATTTTTACTTACAAAAAAAAAAAAAAACAGAAACAGAAACCATGGCCAAAGCTGCTTAGAGCGATTCCGTACTTACTAGATGTGAAGGTTGGAAAAAAACGTGTCTCCTTGGGCTGTCATCTGATTGTTCACACTTGTACACATAGGAAGCAGAGCAAGGTTAAGCAGGATCAGACTTCTCATCCTGTCATCACCTTAACTCTCTTAATAGATGATAGGTAGGAATGAGGAAGCATTTGCACATTTCTTTGTATTTATAAGCTGGAGATGGCTTCCAATTTGGGGAGGATTCTGATTTAACACCTTTCGTGTAAAACTAAGGTTAGTACAAGACAGTTCATTCACACTTATCCTTTGGCACCTGAAAGGGGGTAGGGAGTAGGGTCTGACTTTGACAATATTCATAGCTGTTGATGGTATGGTGATGATGGATGTTAGCTATGGTCTCATCAACTTGGTAGACCAAGAAAGGCTCTTTAAAAAAATATATAAAATTTTTTCAATGAATAAAAATCAACTTTCCCTCACACAACCCCAATGTCCCCCCACCACCAAAAAAAAAAACCTTGTAATGAATATGTAGTCAAAATAAATTCCTACATTAGCTATTCCAAAAAATAATTATTTCCTGCTGCTCTCTTGAGTTAGAAGATTCTTGAAAAAGCATGTTATTCTGCCATCAGCCTTGGACCTTTGCAGTGGGTAGGACTCTGACTTTGAAAGCCTGGCCTGGCCATCTCCTCCCTTCACCAAATGTGTTGCTGTAAGGCACAAAGAGGGAAGAAGGAGTGCTAATATCCCATACAGTACATGTCAGTACATGCTCTCCAGTCAGGCACTTTTGCTAATTTTCCTCCCTTGAGAGATCTGTCTCTAACATCCTTTTTCATGGTTGGAAAAGATTTGGCCACAGATTAGAGGCTGGTTCCTCTGGTTGACAATTTGTGGGACTTGCATTCTTGGAGTTTTCTCTCCAGAGCCCCACTTGGTTTATGGTCTGCCCCTGTTTGAGTCCAGACAGCATCATTCTGATACTCTGCACTCAGCCCCAGGTACAGATAAGATGGACTGTGGCTCATGTGATACCTGCACAGTTAGAACACTAAGGAGAGTCCCGTACCGGTCATAGATGCTGTGTATAGGCCTCTGAACACAGCCCAGGCTTTGCATTCATGTAGCATATCACCCTCACCCTCCATCCTCCCAAACTGGCTGCACCCTCTGCAGATCTGGGAGCACACACAGCAAGGCTGTGTTGGTGGTTGTTGGGAGGGAAGTCCCAGTGGAGGGAGGTGTTTTCTTGGCATGGTACCGTGAGCCATCAACTCTCCTGCCTCAGCTGCTTGAATCTGCCGTTCTAGTCACAGACATTCAGGAACCCAAATCAAAGTTGCTGGTGATGAAATAAAACAAAAACTCATTTATACAGGCTCAGATTTTTGATGGGTAGAAAACTTACTCCCAATTTAATGAGAAAAACTCTCATTCCCAGACTATAAACATTTAAGTCAAATCTTCCGAAACCACTATGCAAGTCGCATTTTAATTAATGTATATTTAGAGGGTGGAACAGTTGCCATTTATGTATTGGAACCATTGTATAAACTTTTTGAAAACCAAGACTGTTTGCTTTTTGTCTTTGTACCCCCAGCACCTTGCATGGTGCCTGGTCCATAGTAGACACTTAATAAACACTCTTGTGTTAGATGATGATCCCTTCCAATGTATCTGAACACCCTTGTGCTGTGGTCCATGATGAGGGAGACTGTCTGAGTTCTGTGCGATTTCTTGTGGGTTCCTAGGAGGTCCCTGGTAGTTAGTTTTCTTTGTGAAATTTTCAGTAATTTTATTGACCATGAAACACTATGTAATTTTGATTTGTAATTAAATTTTTTTTCCAATTTGTTTTCTTGGGTGTTTTTTTCCCCACCATAATAATTTATTAAGGGGCCTTAGTGACTCCACATTGGTAGACATACTCCAACTTCAACTATTTATTATCTAAAATAAAGCTGTCTTTATTTAGAACTGGTAGAGAAACCTGGCCCATCAAATGCAGAGAATGAGCTGTTTGCAGTCAGCACATGACCAGCCAGGTCGAACTTGCAGATCACTGGCTAATTGGGTTTGAAGACTCAGATGTGCGGTTCTACATAAAGTGAAGGCTTTCCCTGCCATACACTGAATCCTCTTTTCTGCAGCAACATGAAGAACTGCAAAGATTAGCAGGCGTTTTAATCCTATAAAAGATGTCAGTGAAAATAGCAAAGAATTCTTAAAAATGTGTTTTAAGAGTCTGATTCCTTAAATGTGAGCTCTCAAAGAAATCTAACACAAACAGAATTTGCTATTTCCACTTAAGAGTCAGTGTGAAGTAGTGGAGAAAACACTGATGTTGGAATTCGGACACATTCAGATCCCAGCCCCAATTATTTACTAGCTGTGTGTGATCTGGGCATGTTCAGTTCCCTGCACCTGGTGGGGGCCTCACTTCTTTACTTGTAAGATTGGAATGATTCTTACGCTATCCATATCACAGGGTGGTTGTGGGAAAAGTGCTTGATGAGAACAATGTTCTGGGAAAGAGCCCAGGATCTTAAATCACAGAACCCTATGTGACCTTGGACACCATAGACCTCAATAAAGGGCATTGCCCTCCTCAAAGCTCCCTTCCCTGCTAATTCTAATTCTGTGATTACGGTATCAGTAAGACACAAAAATAGTTGCCCTAACTGGACATTTATAACTCCTTTGGGTCAGCTAGGTGGCGCAGTGGATAGAGCACCGGCGCTGAAGTCAGAAGGACCTGAGTTCAAATACGGCCTCAGACCAAACACTTGACACTTACTAGCTGTGTGACCCTGGGCAAGTCACTTAACCCCAATTGCCTAAAAAAAAAAAAAAACCAACTCCTTTGGGTCAGCAGAAGCTCCATTTTCCCCTTTTTGTCTGTGGCCCTCTGATATGTCCTGCTTTTCTTACAAAAGCTGGGTGTTAGAAGTGACCCTGCAGGAGATACCCTTCAGGAAAGTGCATTCCTTTCTGTCCACCTGATTGACTTGTGGTTTGAGTGAGTCTCTTAAGCAAACATTTCCATTAAAAAAATCTCAAATTAACAAGAATTTCAGGCTAGAAACATCTTCCGAGGTGGTTCCCAGTAAAATGCCCTCCACCCTTTGTTCCGCATGCTGCTCAAAAGGGTTAGAGGACAAGGTTGGTGAGTCACATCTGTCTTCACCTGTGAATGCAGCGACAACAATGATTTGATTTCAGAACATTCAACTGTTCAAAGACATGAACGGGGCTTAGAGTTTTTTTGTAAAGCAGATATAACAATGACCCCAATTTTAAAAGTGCTTTATAAGGCATTTCCTTGTATTTGGAGTAGGCATTGTGTATGATATTACCATTTTATAGATGAGGAAGTTGAGGCTCAGAAGTAAAGTAACCCTAGATCATGCAGTGGCATAAGTTCTGCTGAACTGGGGGATTTGATCCTGGGTCTCAATCCAAATCAGAACTTGTTCCATTATACCACCCCATGTCCTAATTAGTCACACAGTAGACCAGTTGCTTTATGTTGTGACTAATGGGAAGCACGTGGTGGTAGGCAGAACCAGAGGCAGTGTCAGGAAGACCTTAGTTCAAATACTGTCTCTAACACAACAACCCTGAGAACTTACTCTGTGAGCTCTGGATTCCTCACTAATAAAGCAGGGAAATGATATATGAAAGAATGATAAAGAATGAGTCTCACCCATTCTCCCAGAGACTACCTGATTTTAGGGGTGCTCACTTTCCAATAATGAAGGAGTCCATGGGCCAAATGCCCCCCTTGATGATATCAAGGATAGGGGATTGAGTCAGTATAGTTAAATTAGCTCATTGGTGCCTGACAAAGTGCCCTACCCCCAACACTTGCTGAGCCATTCTACCATATTTAGCAGCATATTCCTTTGAAAAAGACTATTCAACTCCTGTGAATTCCTCTAGCACATTACTGTGAAAAAGATTATTCATTCCATATACAACATGAATTCACACTGAACTCACAACCTGTTTTAAACCACAGACCTGATCAGGCTAGTATTGTGCTCACCGATATCCGAATATCCTAGTACAGACCACCAATTTTTCTATAGCCCTTAGCACCTCTGGCAATATCTGCAGAACCATCAACCATCAGCAAAGATAAGAAAAAGGAAAATAAAAGAGATGGGGAAAGAATTTGGTAGGGGGTAAAAAGAACTTACCCGAGCCAATGGTTACCTTTCTGTGTGACCACGAGCTCTCTCATGCTTGGCCTCCGTCTGGGTTACCTAAGGGATCCATTGAGGCTCCACCTTAAAAAGAAAGATGGGTGAGACCATCAGTAGACAAGCTTTAAGATTTAGCCTTTGCAGGATTTGGTTTCTTTGAATATATCTGCACAGTAACAGGACTAGAGCCACAGAGCATCATGAGAGTACTTCAGACATTCATTCTGCCAATAGCATTTCTAACCCAGCTATGTCACTTTTGTGAGGCAGCAGAATGCTGCTCTCCGGGAAGGCTGGACTTAAAGTCAGGAAGATCCAAGTCTCCATCTTGCTTCAGACACTAGCTGTATGACCCTAGGCAAGTCTCTTTCCTCCTCTGTAAAATGGGAAGGGTTGAACTTGACCTCTGAAATCGCTTTCAACTCTAAATAATTGTGTTCTCTCACCTTTCACTCATTTCTGTTGTTACCTGTTTGTTTACACATCGGGAAACTTTCCTGTCTCCAAAATTCATTTTTCTTCTGAGATATTAGGGACAGACTCAGTGAGGCAGTCCTAGCAAAGGAAAGACTAGGCTGATTCCTTGACTACGGTCATTTTAGTAAGTTTCGCATTTGGAGTGACATCTGGCATTGGAAAATGTCTCTGACCCATCTTTTGTCTCTTTGCCTTTAGTACCACCTGGGACTGACTTCTCATCCAGAGCTCTTACTCCTGAAGAACTTCGACACTGATTCCATCCTCTCTAGATGATGGCCTCAAGAGACTATCGAAATAGTATTTTCAAAAAACCCTTCTGCAAAGTGATGTAATAACTTTGTTAGTTCAAGAGGTGAGTTTTGTTCAAAGAACTTGAACAAAAATCAGAGATTTCCTTATGGGAAGGCTATTAAAAGCTGACCGCTGTAAGTGGAGGGCAGAGAACCACCCACCTTGTAAAGGTGTAAACAGTCAGGGGACAGCCAGAGTCAAATGACTGGCTGATTTTGGCCCCACGCCCTATGGGCTTGTGTTGTAATTTCTGGCATTTTTTCTTGAAGTTGTAATTTATATAATTATATATAAAGATATAAATATTTGTTTAGGTGGGATTTTTAAAGTTTTATATAAATTGATTAGTTTTAAAAACTTTAATAGAGCTCAGAGAAGTCAGATTACACTGAAGTCTCTGGATCAAAGATGAGAAAGGAGAATTGATGGGGCTTTTTAAAGCTGAATTGGTCAAACAAAATCTCCTTTAAAATAACGCTTCATATAAGAAGTCAAAGTTGTACTTACATGGACTGGTTAAAGACCAGATCATATACTTGGTGTTTGAAAAAAACATTGCCTCATAACCAGCATTTCTTTTTTCCAAGGAATGTCTGTCACTTCTTGCCTATGAAATTTAGGCTTTAAACTGGAAGATACCATAGTGTTTGCTGAGGTCTTTAATTCACTCCTTCCAAATGTCACATTCTAGGTAACCATCACCTTATCGTCAGTCTTTTTTTTTCAAGTTTCTGGTCAAAAGTCAAAAGCCTTAAACTTTGACTTGCAAAGGAAATTTCTGCTGTTCTTTGGACCTGCCTACCATTTCAGATATTTTCCCGTCTTCCTGTAAACACTCCATACAAGCCCAAAGGTCTGCTTCCTGTGATTACTGGTATTTATTTTACCAAGTATTAGGTGTGATCTTAAATGCAGTCTTTTAGGAGTGAGATTTCTGGGCACTGTGGCATATTGGATATGACAGTGGCCTGGAAATCAGAAGACTTGGTTTTAGTCACAACTCACTTATTTTTGTAACCTTTACCTTTCTGCTTCAGTTTCTTCATCTGTAAAATGAAAAACTTGAATTAAATGATCTTCTAGGCTCCTTCCAGGTCTCATATTCTCTGATTCTGTGATTATCACTCCAGCCATTGTGAAACTCCAGGTCAGTCTGCTATCTCTTATCTGACCCCATTCACAAATTTAAGTCAACAACATGTTTTTAAAGCATTGTCTAAATTTATTCACAATTTACTTTGTCACCTAACTAAGAGCCTGGGCTCTCCCTGTCAGGATCGTAGCTTGAACCTTATTTTAAGCTTGAACATTCCTTTACACATTAGGAATTCCAGAAATTCTTGAGTATTTATAGCATGCTGGTTGTTTTTCAACAATAGAAGTGGGGTGGGGGAATGAGGTTGAAATTTATTAAGTGTTTGAACCATTTAAGTCAAGAAGTCTTCTTTCATTCTGTAAAATGTGTATTAAATGCCTGTTGTGTTTCCGTGAACCCATTAAGTCTGAGTGGGGTCTCTGTCCTCAAGGAGTTTCCACTCTAGTAAATCATCATGTAAAATTGACTCTGAATTGCTCTGTTTGAACTCAGAGTTCCTTTATGACAATTTAAGTACTTCTGTTAATTTTTTAAAAGCTTTGTAACAGCTTTTTGTAAATGCTCGTGCTTCTGAATGGGATGTCCCAGTGAAGACTTCTCAGTGTAATTAAGGTAATGAGTTCAGAAGGTAGGGTGAGAAATGAACTCTCAGAAGTGAAGGCTCCTCAAAGGGTCAAATAATTCTTGATTACTACTTTCAAAATCCTCCCCAACTCAGACCCTGTTTTTAAGCACCCCCAACCTAAGCTGTTTGCCCTTTGCCCTTGGCATTCGGCCTTTTTCCTTGTCTTTGAATTTCGAGCCTAGAACGTAAGCCCCACCTCCCAGTTAGAATGTAAGCCCACCCCCAGTTAAGGGGGTAAGGGATAGTGGTGGGTGGAGACTTGTTTTGTAGTGGGTGGAGTCTCCCGAGACTGTAATAAAGGTAACCCTTGCTTTCCACCTTGAGAAGTCTCTGAGTTTAATTTGGGTTGGGGTCGCTGTCCCACACACTTCCTTTGTTAAGTTGGTCTCTAGGTCATTTCACTACTTAGTCAAAGAGTGGTCAGAAGGAAGTATGAGAAGGGGAGTAGCAAAACAACCTGGCTTCCTTTTGGTGGGTCTTACAATTGGTTTTCCAAAATAAGGCTTGGGGGGTTCTACCAATTTCCCCTGTTTTCTATTGGAGTGGGTAATTAAGAATAAGCATGCTTCAGTGGTGTACCTTGTTATGGCATTTTTGTAAGCCAAATCATTTCAAATGCTCTGGAGTTGTAGAATCAGAAGGGACCTTCCACCCCTTGCTGAATTTCTACAGTGTCTGCGACTACAATAAACTTACTACTTCCAAAGGCATTTCCTTTCATTTTTGGACAGCCTTACTTGCTAAGGTCTTCTTTACTTTAAAATGAAAACTGCTTCCCTGCCCACTAGAGGTAAATCTTATTCTTCTTTCACTTGACAGCGCCTTAAATACAACCAAGGATCATGAATCAGCATAGACACAGTCATAAAGACAAAAGTGGAACAGCCCCTGCCCTCAGGGAGTTTACATGTACACATTCTAATCCTACTTCCAACTCTACCCTTAACCCTAACTCCACCCCTAATCCTATACTGTATATGCAGAATATATATAAAAGGAACAGAAACTAGTTTTGGGAGGGGGGCACCCTAATGACTGATGGGACCAGAAAAGGCTTCATGAAGAAGGTGGCTCTTAAGCCAAATCACCAGGGATTCCAAGAGGCAGAGATGAGAAGGGAATGCATTTTAGTTGTGGGAGAAAGCTAGTGCAAAAGTGTGGCCAAGGGAAATGGAGTATATTATGTGTCTGTCAGTCAACAAGCAATTAATTGAATCCCTGCTATGCACCAGGTACGGTGCTAACCACTGAGGATACCAAAAAAGGTAAAAGACTCTAATGGGGGAAACAACATGCAAGCAACAAACAAGATATTTATAGGATAAGTGGGAGGTAAAACAACAGAGAGGCGGCATTAGAATTAAGGAGGGATTGAAAAAGCTTCCTTGCAGATGGTGAGATTTTTTTTGAGTGCCATTTTTGAAAATTAATTTATTTTTGGTTTTCAGCAATTGCTTCCATACACTCTTGAGTTTTTAATTTTTCTTCCCACCCTCCCTCCCCAAGATGGAGCGCAATCTGATATAGGCTTTACATATACATTCCTATTAAACATTTTCACATTAGTCATGTTGTAAGGAAGAATTAGAACCAATAGGAGGAACCATAAGAAAGAGGAAACAAAAAAAAAAAACAAGAAAAAAAAAGCAAATAGTATGCTTCGATCTGCATTCAGACTCCATAGTTCTTTCTTTGGATGTGGATAGCATTTCCCTCATGAGGCCTTTGGAGATGTCTTAGATCCTTATATTGCTGAGAAGGGTTAAGTCTATCAATATTAGTCTTCACACAATGTGGCTGCTACTGTGTACAACGTTCTCCTGGTTTCCTTACTTCACTCAGCATCAGTGAGATGGTGAGATTTTAGCTGAGACTTGAAGGAAGTCAGGAGGTGAAGATGAGGAGAGATAAAGTTCCAGGTGCAGGGGATGGCCAGTGAAAATGCCCAGAGTTGGGTGATGGAGGGTCTAGTGCAGGGAACAGCCACACCTATCAAGTGCAGAACATCAACAGGCCATTGTGGCTGGGATGCAAGTGTGAGGAGGAGAGAAAAGTGGAAGAAGACTGGAAAGGTAAGAAGTGACCAGGCTCTGATGAGCTTGAAATATCAGAGGAGTTTGTGTGGGATCCTCAAGGCAAAAGGGAGTCATTGAAATTTCTTGAGGAGGGCAGGGATCAGATTGGTGACTTAATGCTCATTCCCTAGTTTGTCATACATGAGTTTCTGTGTGTCACGTTTTCTGTGCGGTCTGCATCTGATGTTCAGACTGGGTCAGTCGTCTGGACATGCTCAGCAATGTATTATGGGCAGTGGGCATCATTCAGATCCTTTCTCAGGACTTGTTAAGGTCAGTGGAGAACACAGTAAAATGTGATAAAACAATTAGAAGGTGATTGTGTGTAAATATCTCCTGTAACTCATAGCCAAAGCCTAATTCAATTAATTGAATAAAGATAATTGAATAAAGAAAAAAGGCACTACCAGGATGCCATATTGACTGTAAAAGGGTTGTTCGGATATTTTTGGCTTTCAAGAACTATGCACAAAGAAGGATCTGTCGAGTACCAAAACTGTGATCACGAAGTATTTTTCAATTTCACAAGTATCTGTTCTCCAGGTTCCTTTGTGCTGATCCTTCCTCTTGAACTGGCTGAGGATTTGACATTGAAAAACAAGGATCCTGCCAACTGCCTGACTTTTTCCAAGTTATGATTTTACAGCTGAATACACAGTTTGCTAGTTCTCCTGTGTCCAGTGTCTTCTATTGACACAATGTGCTCCTCCTCTCCAGTCCTGTTTGACTCTTCGTGACTCCATTTGGGGTTTTCTTGGCAAAGATACTGGAGTGCTTTGCTGTTTCCTTTTCCAGCTCATTTTACGACTGAGGAAACCGATGCAAATAGAGTTAAGTGACTTGTCCGGGGTCACACAGATAGTAAGTGTCTGAGGCTGGATTTGAACTCAGGAAGATCAGTCTACCTGATCCTAGCTGCATACTGAAACAACTTATTCTACTTTAAATGACCCAAAAAAAAAATCAAGAAAGAAATTACAGTTGCTCCTCTTAAAACATGGGGGTCTTATTGGGGTCTATAAACTTGTTTTTAAAATATATTTTTAAAAAATTTTGATAATTGCATTTCAATATAGTTGGTTTCCTTTGTAATACAATTTATTTTATTTCAGACTTAGAATAAGGTTAGGAAGAAATTCTGGCACCTTATTGGACTCACTGTGCCAAAAACATTTATAAAATCTTAGCACTCTAGCCTTCAACCTATCTGTCTGTCTATCGATCTGTCTGTCTGTCTATCTTTAAGACATTGAGCCCCTACTAAGGGAGAGTTGCTGGTGATCTGTCATCTTTCATTAATTGTACCTTTTTTCCTTGAGCATTCTCAAAGACACAATTTATTTCTAAATGCCCCTTAGGCTACATGAGTCCCTGGCAAACATGAGCTGGGACTTGGTGTGTTTACTCAGGAAATCAAGTGGCTGGTTACATCCCTAGCTGTTAGAGGTGGGTGTTGGTGTGTTTACTCTTAGGGACTTGAAGGGTTGGTTACATTCCACAGTTGCTGCCCAGAGGATGGAGGCTCTATTCTCTAGTGATATCTTAGCTGTGTTTGTGCAGTTAACTCTTAATTATCTGGAATAATTGGGGAAAGGAGCATAGAATATAGATCAAAGCAATAGATAAGATTTTGGAATGTAGAATACCCCTTATATACTAATATATTATATATTATATTATATTATATTATATTATATTATATTATATATACACCCTCATTTAGCCTTTCCTTCCTTCCTTCCTTCCTTCCTTCCTTCCTTCCTTCCTTCCTTCCTTCCTTCCTTCCTTTCTTCCTTTCTTCCTTTCCTCCTTGCCCAGGCCTTGTAGCTAGCATTTATATAGCCCTTTAAGATTTGCAGAGTCCTTTACACATGTTAACTCATTTGATCCTCGTAACAACTTGTGACATAGATGATTTCCATTTCATAGATGTGAAAACTGAGGCACAGAGGGGTGATCCTTTTTCGGCCCTTTCAGACTAGACTGTGTACCATCTGATTCCTTTTCCTTCCCTCCCCGGGTACTTACCTCTCCTATTTCTTCTGATCAATGCTGCCACCTGAATGAAGAAGGATGAATTGGTGCAAAAGCATTTATTAAGCGATTACTGTATGCAGAGCCCTCCACCAGGCACTGGGATACAAAAACAGAAAGAAAGAAAAAGCCAGTCTCTGCTATCAATGAGCTCACATTCTAATAGGGGGACAGCACAGGTCCCACTTTCCAGTCAGAGGGAAAGGTTGTGTGATCCTTGGAGTGTAGGGACAAGGCAGATGGTGACACAGCATCTTTCATGGGTTTGTTTGTTTTTTTTTTTTTTTGGTGTGTTTTGTCTTTAAGGATACTTAACTACTAGTTAATATTCTCTAGAATACCTAGTGTGGCATAAGTTATTTAAGTGTTCTAAAAGAAAACTCTGCTTTGGTTGAAAAACTGGGCCCTAAGCAAAGCTCAATCAATGTAAGTTCTATCAATGGAAGCTATAACAGGCTGGCCATTTTCAGTGATTCATTTGAAAACTAATTTCCCAACTTTGATCCTATAATAGCTCATCCCTATAGGTTTTCAGAATATGTCCGTCACACCATTTCATCTTCCCAATAACTCTGTGAGGTAGGAATTATTATCCCCATTTTGCTGGAGGAGGACAAGCTGAGGTGAAGTACCTTGCTCAGTGTTACACAACACTGAGATGGGATTTGAACTCAGGTCTTCCTGATTTCAGTCTAACATTCAACCTACTACAACATACTATCCTACTATGCCAAGACTAAGTGGAGCCTTATTAAATGTTTTACCTCCAAACAAAATTAATTAATCAATTAATAAATAGTAATTGAGTACCTATCATGTGCCAAGCACTGTGCTAAATGCTAAGGATACATGAAGAGGCAAAAGACAGTCGCTGCCCTCAAGGAGCTTACAATTGAATGGGGGAAACAACATGCAAATATATACAAAGCAAGCTATATACAGGATATATAAGAAATAATTAACAAAAGAAAGGCACTAGAATTAAGGGGGTTTGAGGAAGGCTTCCTGTGGAAGGTGGGGTTTTAGTTGGGGTTTAAAGGAGACCAGGGAGGTCAGTAGTGAGAACAGAGGAGGGAGAGTGTCCCAGGAATGGCGAACAACCAGAGAAAATATCTGGAGTAGAGAGATGGAGTGTCTTGTTCGTGGAATAGCCAGGAGGCTAAATCCAGGGTCACTGGATGGAAGAGTATATATTGAGGAGTACCGGGTAAGAAGACTGGAAAGGTAGGGGTGGGGCTCTGTTATGAGGGACTTTGAATGCCAAAAGGAGCATTTTGTATTTGCACCTGGAGGCAATAGGAAGCCACTGGAAGAGTTAATTGAGTAGGGGGTGACCTGATCAGACCTTTGATTTAGGAAAATCGCTTTGGTGGCTGAATGGTGAAGGGATTGTAGTGGGGAGAGACTTGAGGCAGGCAGACCCACCAGCAGGCTATTACAGAGTGGTAGCCATAGGTTTTTCAGCCCTTTGGCAAATGATGGGGCACCCTCTTTGTTTCCGGTTATTTTCTGCCACAGAGAGTGCTGCTATGGATATTTTAATATATTTGTTTCTGCCTGACTTTGTTAGGGTCCGTGCATAATAATGGGATTGCTAGGTCTGTTGAATCACTTTTCTTGCATAATTCTAAGTTAAAATTTAGCCCACTTCACAGCTCTGCTAATAGTACATGCCCAGTTCTGGTTGGAGAAAGTAGAAATTTAGTTGTGTAAAGAGATGTTAGAAGAAATACGACAAAAGGCTACAGACAAACTACATTGCTTTTATTTAATATCAAAATAGCAGAAGATGGCTACAGTAGACCAAGACAGAGGGAAGGAAAATACCTTATCTGCACACATTAAGACATTAATATAGATAATATAATAGCTTCATTCAGTATTCTAATGAATATAACACAGCTTTGTATTTTTATGTTTATTACTTCACACATTTATAGGTTGACTATGAAGGACCACTATTGTTTTATTCTGTTATTTATGGAATATTTGTTATATTATTATTTATCACTATTATTTTATTCTATCAAGTTCTAGTTTCTGCTTTAATTTGCATGGTACCAGTAAATTTCCTCTTTATTCCCAGGGTATAGGGGGAGGGTAGAGAAGTACACCACTAGATGGAAAAAATAGGTTGGTGGTTAATAAATCTCACTGGGGAGGAATAAGTATGTGGGGTGGGATAAGGAAGTAGAGACAACCAGCGAAGACAGCATTCTTTTGGTTGATTTCTTTACCATCTTGTTTCTACCTCTATTTACAGTGTGTCTGTCTAGTGGTATTAGTAGCTATAATACCTCTCATTAGAAATTTCTCTCTTATCTCCTGTCCTACTAAGACTACAGATCCTATCACCTCCCTAGGAGTTTCCTCTATGGGAATTGACCAAATAAAGTTAACACCAGTACATGTTTGGTATTCATTCTTCATAATAAATATTTTCTAAAAGCCTTTCTTACTCTGGGATGGGGTGGGGGGAAGGTGTCCTTTTTTGGTCACACTGAAGGATTCAGGTTTAACAACTCCTAGACACTGAGTAGAGAATACTTAGAAGCAACAAATAAGTATATAGGGGAAAAGGACAACCTTGAATTCACTGAATTCTAAGGTGCTGCCTTTTCATTAAGTTAAATCAGACTAATCTTGTTTTTGCAATCTCTATTTAGTTGCCTGTTCTATAGGCAACAAACTTCCCTTCTTCTTTTCTCTCTCACTTCTTCCATCTACCAGCTCTCACTGAAACCTGGCCTCCCCTTGCTGACACAGTGTCCCTGGCCATTCTTTCCAGTACTGGCTGCCATATCCATTTATTCTTCTCACCTCACTGGTTGGGGCGGGGTACTGGAATACTCCGTAGTTCCCACTGCCACTTCCATGTTCTCCCCTCTCCTCCATACTTACCACCCAGCCAAAATCCTGGTACCTGTTGTCTACAGACCCCCAGGTCATTCTTTCCTCCTCAATGAGTTTGTTAACTGACATGATTTTTCTTTCCTCCCTATCTCTTGCTGTCATACACACTTAAAAATGCAGTGATTCTCCCTCAAATACCCTAACTGTTCAGTTTCTCAACCTATCCATCTCTTAGGAGCTGCTCCTCCACTCCACCTTAGCTACACACAAAGATGGCCATACCGTCGATCTTGCTGTCACTCACAAACAGACATCTCCATGTTCATGAATTCTGAAATCCCTTTATCGAACCATAATCTGTTGGCTTTTTACCTCTTCTTCTGCCTTCCTTTATATACATGAAGAGTAGGGACTCTTCATTTATACCGTGACCTCCAATCCCTTGACCCCCTCAATTCTCTTCCAGGCCTATACTAGCCCACTCTCTCTTCTTCTCCCTATCTTGACTTTTTGGTGAATCATTTCAACTCTATACTGTCCTTTCTTGAATCCCCAGTCCTCTTATCGTATTGTGATTACACCTTGGCCTTGGGTAACCCCATCATTCATCACCTTTGCACCTGCAATGAAGGTGGAGAAAATCACACAATTCTGACTGAGTCCACTACAGATATATGTTATACTACCTCAACTGGGCCCTCACCACTGCTAAGCAATCCTACTATAACTCCTTTATCAACTCACTATCCCTCTCTCTATAGGAAGTTTTCCAACCCTTTTCATCCCTCTTTACACCTCCCATGGTTCTCCTTTCCCCCAGCTTTCAGCTGAGACCCTTGCTTCATATTCACCACGAACTCCCTCTTCCTCATCTTCTATCATTCAGGCACCTTCTACCACTATCGTCTCCTTCACTCCTGTGTCGTGATGAAGTAGCCTTACTCCTTACCAAATACTCCATTCCATCCCATCTCCAACAGATAGCCCCTTCTGTCATCCCCACTCCTTTCACTTATTTTCAATCTCTCTCTCTCTCTCTCTACTGGCTTATTTCCTACTACCTACAAATATACCCATGTCTTCCCCATCCTGAAAGAACCTTCACTTGACTTTTCCATCCCCACTAACTATCATCCTATCTCTTTTCTGCCCTTTGTAGCTAAACTCCTCAGAAAGGCCATTTACAATGGGTGGTTCTGCTTTTTCTCTTCTCAGTCTCTTTGTGACCCCTTATCATCAGGCTTCCGAACTTATTTCACCAAAATTGCTCTCTCCAAAATTACTAATGATCTCTTAGTTGCCAAACCAAAGTCCTTTTCTTAGTCCTCATTCTCTCTGGCCTGTCTGCAGCCCTTGACACTGTCCATCACTCTCTCCTCATTGATACTCTCTTCTCTCTAGGTTTTCGGGGTACCACTTCCTCCCGGTTCTCCTCCTACCTACCTGACCTCTCCTCCTCCAGATCACACCCTCTAACCATAGGTGTCCCTCAGAGTTCTATCCTGAGCTCTTGTTTCCCTTTGTGCTACTTGGTGATTTCATCAGCTCCCATGGATTTAATTTCCGTGTAATTTACTGCAGCTAGGTGGCCCAGTGGATAGAGCACTGGCCTTGAGTCAGGAGGACCTGAGTTCAAATCTGGACTTACTAGCTGTGTGACCTAGACAAGTCACTTAACCTCAATTGCCTCAAAAAAAAATATGCTGATGATTCTCTTTTTTAAAAAAATTATTTATTTTTAGTTTTCAACATTCACTTCCATAAGATTTTGAGTTTTAGATTTTCTCCCCCTTCTTCTCCTCCCTTCCCCCAGATGGCATGTAATCTGATATAAGCTCTATTTATACATTCATATTAAGCATATTTTCTCATTAATCATGTTGTATAAAAGAATTAGAACTAATGGGAAGAACCACGAGAAAGAAGAAATAAAGCAAAACAACAAAAGAAAAGGAGAGCAAATAGTATGCTTTCATCTGCATTCAGACTCCATGGTTCTTTTTTTGTGGATAGCATTTTCCATCATGAGTCATTTGGAGTTGTCTTAGATCCTTGCATTGCTGAGAAAAGCTAAGTCTGTCAAAATCAGTCATCGCAAAATGTGGCTGTTATTGTGTACAACGTTCTCCTGGTTCTGCTTACTTCACTCAGCATCAGACCATACAAGTCTTTCCAGGTTTTTCTGAAGTCCTCCAGCTCATCATTCCTTATAGCACAATAGTACTCCATTACATTCATATACCACAACTTGTTCAGCCATTCCCCAATTGATGGGCATCCCCTTAATTTCCAATTCTTTTATGCTGATGATTCTCAAATCTACCTTTCCTTCTCCAATCTCTCTGTGGACCTCTAATTGAACTGGATGTCCAGTAGACATTTTTTATTTTTTTGAGGCAATTGAGGTTAAGTGACTTGCCCAGGTCACACAGCTAGTAAGTGGTTGAATCCAGATTTGAACTCAGGTCCTCCCGACTCAAGGCCGGTGCTCTATCCACTGGGCCACCTAGCTGCAGTAAACAGCTTAAACTCAGTATGTCCAAAGCAGAACTCACTCTCTTTCCTTCTAAACCTTCACTACCTCCTACCCCCCAGTTACTATAGAGGGCAACACCATCCTCCTGTCTTTCAGGCTAACAATGTAGGAGTCATCCTAGGTTCCTCACTTCTCTCATCCTCACATCCAAGCTATTGCTAAGGCCTGCTGATTTCACCTTTACAACATCTCTCAAATATACTTATCACCTCTAATATCATCACCATGCCCGAACTCAAGCCCTTGACTGAACCACCTCCCTTGGCTTCTTTTCCCCTCTGATTGAATTCCTACCTCTTTTTGTGGGTTGTCTTTCCCCTCCACCTTAGATTGTAACTTCCTTGAGGACAGGAATTGTCTTTCTTTTTATTAATTGTATCCCCAGCTGTGTGTAGCACAGTGCCCAGAACATAGTAGGTGCTTAATAAATGTTTATTGGATTGAATTAGATTGTCCAGCCTGATAGGGCTATTTGTTCTTTTTGATTTATTTAAACTAGCTCTACTGGGCAGCTAGGTGGGGCAGTAGATAGAGTGCTGGCCCTGGAGTCAGAAAGACCTTGAAGTCAAATCTAGTCTCACAGGGCAGCTAGGTGGTGCAGTGAATAAAGCTGTGGCCTTGGAGTCAGGAGGACCTGAGTTCAAATCCAGCCTCAGACACTTAACACTTACTAGCTGTGTGACCTTAGGCAAGTCACTTAACCCTGATTGCCTCACCAAAAAAAGAAAAAAAAAAAGAACAAATCTAGTCTCAGACACTTACTAGCTGTGTGATAGTCATTTAACCCTGTTTACCTCAGTTTCCTCATCTGTAAAATGAGCTGAAGAAGGAAATGGCAAACTACTCCTGTATCTCTTACAAGAAGACCCCATGACTGAAAAACAATTCAACAACTTCACTAAGAAGATAACTCCTTTATCTATCTCCTATGGCAAATGATAGGCATTTTCCTTTAACAAATGATCTGTTTTTCTGTGTATGGCCATCTGTATTATAATGAACAGCTACCTTTCTTTTCCTTTGTTTCATATAACACAGAAAGGTGGCTTGCTGAAAGGTGGATGTTACAATGTCGATGTCTTTCCTAAGACGGGACACCCTGCAATGAACATAACGTCCCCCATGCGGTCACACCAGGGCAGAATACAACGATGACGTGCACCTCTAAAACTGGGCATTATCCTCTTCTGAGATTACATTGGCTGGATCTCCAGACCTGACATATGTCCTGAGCTCAGGAGCCCCAGCTTCCATCAGCCTGCTGAATATACTGCCACTACCACAAGCTTGATACGTCTAAAATGGAAATAAAATTCTTAAACTTACGCTTCTCATAACATTGCTATTGCTGAAAAGGAACATGGTGTAGACAAAAGGGAGTTGGTTTGGGGGTAAGAGGACTTAGAGTTCAAATCCTGCCTTTATATATATCATTCCATTCGACCTTCACTACAACCCTAGGACATTATAATACCCTGGGTGGTATTATTATCCTCATTTTTGCTGATGGAAGAAACCAAGGCTAGGAAAGGCAGCTTGCCCGGGGTCACACAGCAAATGAGCATGTAAGGCAGGATTTGAACACAAGTCTTTATGACTCCACACCCTCTATTGACTACAGCATACTACTGACCCCTAATTAAATTCCCACAGGTCTTAAAAAAAATAGGCAATTTATATGTCATGTGGCTTTTCCTAAGGAGATCATCAGTGAAAACTCTAGCTTGATGCAAACAGGCAAATCTTATCAAAGTAGTCTTAAAATATGGGGCTTAGACACTCAAGTCTGAAAATCCAGACACACACACACTAAGACAGAAGAATTAAGTCAGCTTAATTTAGTCAGTCCAGACTCTCCACATTAGATGCCGGGCCTACAAACCATAAATCACATGAATGTAGAATGGAACAGAAAGCTCTAGGGCGCAAGCTCTAGGATGCTACCCAAGAGAAAGATTCGAGAGGTGGTCAAACAGAGAGAGGGCCAAGGTGACCAAGACTTTGCCGCATTTCTCTCTCTTCTCTCTCTCTCTCTCTCTCTCTCTCTTTTTTTTTGTGAGGCAGTTGGGATTTAGTGACTTGCCCAGAGTCACACAGCTAGCAAGTGTTATGTGTCTGAGGTCAGATTTGAACTCAGGTCCTCCTGACTCCAGGGCTGGTGCTCTATCCACTGTGCCACCTAGCTGCCCCCTGCTGTATCTCTCTTGCATGTAAGAGGGGACACTAAAGCCCACAAAATCTCTAAGACTGTCAAGAATAGAGTTCAGCCAACTTGGTCACAGTGATGGTGTGGGAAAGAGGATGAGAGAATTCAGAAAAGCTTCCTGTTTAGACCACCCATACACATAAGCCCTATTCTTGGCTTCCCAGAGGATAAGGGATTGGGGCAGCTAAATGGTGCAGGAGATAGAGCTCAGGGCCTGGAGTTAGGAAGATGAGTCAAAATAACCTCAGACCCTTACCAGCTGTGTGACCCTGGGCAAGTCACTTTACTTCTGTTTGCCACTTGGTCCCCTAGACCAAGGAAGGAATCATCTGAATCATCCTAGGGAAAAGGAAATGTGCCCGCTAAGGAGAACCTGCCTGCTTTAGATCTCAGGCAATAGCTTGTTCAAATAGAATAAACTTGTGAATAACTCAATAAAGAGGGATCATCAAAATGTTCTTCTGGGAGCCTGAAGAGTCCAACAAGCTTTTTTTTTTGGGGGGGGGAGATGCAAGGTAGACAGGTGTCAGTAATTTATTACATACTGTATCTAAAATCATCTGAGCAGCTCAGTGGCACAGTGGGTAGAGCACCAGGCTTGGAATCAGGAAGACTCTTCTTCCTGAGTTGAAATCATGCCTCAAACATTCATTCGCTATGTGATCCTAGGTAAATCACTTCACGCTGTTTACCTTAGTTTGCTCACCTGTAAAATGAGCTGGATGGAAAAGTTTTACATGGTTGCATATGTATAACCTATATCTGATTGCTTGCCATCTCTGGGAGGGGAGAGGGGAAAGATGGAGGGAGAGATAGAATTTGAAACTCAAAACTTTTAAAAAATTATTTTAACATGTAATTGGGAGGGAAATTTTATGTATGTACATATATACAGATACATACATATATACATATTATATATACATATACATATACCCATAAATTAGCTGGAGAAGGAAATGGGAAGAGACTCCTAGTACCCTTGTCAAGAAAACCCCAAATGGGGGACACTACTGAAACAGCTCAACAATATACATAGAGTATAGGGGGGAAAAAAACTCAAAACAGTGGAATGGACCCTGAATTTTCTTAGGTTTAATCTTCTGTTCCTTGTTTCTCATCTGGCCCAGTCAATATTATATCATCAATATAGCGATGGATAGGGGCAGCCAGGTGGCGCAGTGGATAGAGCTCCGGCCCTGGAGTCAGGAGGACCTGAGTTCAAATGTGACCTCAGACACTTGACACTTACTAGCTGTATGACCCTGGGCAAGTCACTTAACCCTGATTGCCTCACCAAAAAGCAAAATATATATAGTGATGGGTATTAGTGCCCTGAGGAATTGGGGTCTTCTTTCACAACTCTTCCTCTTCCCTCCCCTTCATTCCCATGGCCCTCCCCAGTGATGACCAGACTTCTACCACAGAGTTCCTGGGTTTTAAGTAGGAGCTGGCTGTCCTTGTGGAGGATTGCCTGGCCCCCTCTAACCTCCTCCCCCAGCCACCACTATCATGATCTTGGAGAAGATGACCGTCAGCAATAGGATGGACCAGTCCTGGTGCAGCTTGTTCTTTGGACCATGCTGAGCCTAGCACCACAAAATGCTTTGTGTTTTTAGTGTCTAAGATATCAGCCTCCTGGGAGAATAATTACAGTTCTGTTACTGATGCCTAAGTTATTCTTTGAATGCATTTTCATGAACTTTTTGTCTATTAACGTTTCTTTTGTGTGAATGAAATAAATTTCTGCCTTATACCTGATCTACATTTGTACGTTGAATACCTTCCTACTCACCCTTCCTTGCTGTGGGAAGACCTTAGGCAAATCAGATGAATCTAAAAATTCTGTAAGTAATTTTCCCTAGGGCTGTGGGAGGGTAGTAGCTAAACAGCTAGAATCTGAGCAAAAAGGCTCTGTAAGGACCAGACTGCCCAGGATTGAAGCTGGTGCATGTGCCAGAGTACAGAGTTAGGGGGGCCCTTAAGTGGAGAGGGAGAGAGGGAGTACCCAGGGCTCAGCAACCATTCTTTGCATGGTCATATATCAAAGGTTTAGGAAGAAAACTTAAGGCTGGCAAGGAGGTAATGAATTAAATGAAATTAAATATTTTTAAGTGCTTCTTATATGCTGCACTTGGCCCTGGGAAGACAAAGACAAAAAGTAAACAGTCTGGTCCCAGGAAGCTTACACTAGGGATGCTGGGAGTGGGGGAAGGGGTTGAGGACTAGAGATAACACAAGATAGCATGATGGAATAATAGATCTACAGCTGGAAGGGACCTCAGGGAGCGTCTAGTTTGATCTTTTAATTTTATACGTACACAAGTAAGCAAATTCAAAGTACGTACAAAATAATTTTAAAGGCGCAGCTAAGTGGCACCGTGCGCCGGACCTGAAGTCAGGAGGACCTGAGTTCAAATCCGGCCTCAGAACAAACATGTACTAGCTGTGTGACCCTGAGCAAGTCACTTAACCCCAATTGCCTAAAAAGAAAAAAAATAATATTAAGAAGGAAAGTAGTGAGTGTGAGGGGAATGGGGTAAGGTCACATAGAGGAAAGGGCACCTGAACTGTGCCTTGACTGAAACTAGAGGTTTTCTGAGGAGGAGATCAGGAAGGAGTGTGTTTCAAACAGGAGGACCATTTGTGGAAAGCAGGGAGATAGAGATGAGAAATGGAATGTCACATGGAAGAAATAGTTAGCAGGCCGGTTTGACTGGATCAGAGGGAGCAGGAAAGGGAATAATATGAAATAAGAGTGGACAAAGGGGGTGGGAGCTAGACTGTGAAGGATGTTATATGCTAGGGTGAGTAGCTGGTATGTGTTGCTGTTAAGAGGAGGAAGTTGGGCAGGAAATGATGGAATGTGGGAAAGTTAGATTGAAGGCATCTGCCATGGTGTTGACCAGGACACAGAGAAGAAAATACACAGGATTGTTCAGTAGGGAGGCAGCTAGTTCCTTGACCTGCAGCTACTTATCTTGAAAAGACTTTGATGGCCCTGGGACAGGAGTAGGCCTGGAGGTGAGTTGTGTCTGAGGGCTAGAGTGAAAGGCAAGAGGCTGGCTAGAGCCCCACTCCCAGGGGAGAAATCCATCAGTGCCTTGTCTATATCATCAATGGGAATTTTACAATTTCTATTTTAATTCTTTATTCTTAACTTAAATACCTCCAAAATGTGCATTTCCATACACAGAACACAAAATGATTGTGTTTTGAAACCATAAAATCTCCATTTTATCCCTCTTGCTTTTTTTAAAAAAAAGTTAAGTTCTGCCCATTACATTCAAAACGGTCCTGATTATCTGTGTTTCCTTTTGTGAGAGATGATGTCTCAGAAGTGAAGCCTCCTCAGGGAGTCATGGTTTTTGTTAATAGTTCTTAATTGTTGCTTTCAAAACCCTCCCTGCCCCGGACCCTGTTTTTAAGTCCTGCCCCCAACCTGAAGTGCTTGCCCTTGAAAAGCTTCCCGCCTTTTCTTGTCTGTGGGCAAATTTGTGTCTCCGTGTATAGACTGTACCCCCTGAAAGCCCAGCCAATGGGATAAGGGGAAGGGGGTTAGGAAGGAGGAACTCACGTTAGGGTATAAATAAGCCTTGATTTCTGAACGGAACTCGTACTCTCCTGGCCCACAATGGCGACTAAGAGGGTACCGTTTCTCATGAGAAAGCAATAAACTCCTTTCTACTTTCAAGGTATCTAAGTCTTTGTTTTTAATTTTGAGTAAGTGGTCTCTGTCCCACACACTTTTGAATATCCTTTTCTTTTCATCTGGGCATTTTTTTTTGGTCAGTCGGTATTAAGTGACTTACCCAGGGTCACGTAGCCAGTAAGTGTGTGAGGCTAGATTTGAACTCAGGTCCTCCTGATTCCAGGGCGTGTACTCTATCCACCGTGTCACCTAACTACCCCTTGTGCATTTTAGAGTAATGCTTCAATGATACTTTTTTTTAATTTTAATTTTTTTGCTTTTTGGTGAGGCAATCAAGGTTAAGTGACTTGCCCAGGGTCACACAGCCAGTGTTATGTGTCTGAGGTTGGATTTGAACTCAGGTCCTCCTGACTCCAAGGCCAGAGTTCTATCTATGATGCCACCTAGCTGCCCTTTTTAATGTTTAA